TTGCTTTCATGAAGGGAAGAATATTTGAAAAGTCAGTCCATACCCTGTTGTTTTGTCTTATGAGAATGTGTTGTTTTAAAATTTTGAAACGTCGTAAAATGAGCACCTGTAATTCTACTGTGGAACATACACTGTTAGATGACTGATCTTTTTGAAGCTACCCTTGTCTTTCTCCCTAACCTTGTTTTCTTACCTCTCCTACATAGCTTTTAGATTTTATAGTGTCTTTCCTTGCTTTTTAAAAAATTTGAACATCATTATCACTAAACAAGTAGTTGTTTTAACCGAGGGTGATTTTGTTTCCTCAGTCTTTTGATTTTCTTTCTTTCTTTGCTTGTTTATTTATTTATTTTGAGATGATGTCTTGCTCTGTTGCCTCTGAGTAGGTGGGATTACAGGTGCACACCATCATGCATGCCTTTAAAAAAATTTTTTTTGGTGGAGATTGGGCTTTACCATGTTGTCCAGGGTGTTCTTGAACTCCTGAGCTCAAGCATTCCTCCTGACTTGGCTTCCCAAAGTGCTGGGATTACAGGTATGAGCCACCACACTCAGCCAACATTATTTCTTTTATTGTTTTTTGAGCAGTCTCGCTCTGTTACCTAGATTAGAGTGTAGTGGTGTGATCATGGCTCATTCATGGGCTCAAGCGATCCTCTCACCACTGCATCCTAAAATGCTGGGATTATGGGCATGAGCCACCTATACTCAGCGTCTTTTTATTTTTTATTTATATTTTTTGCCATGAGGTCTTACCATGTTGTTGAGTAGCCTGAAGTACAGTGTGTGTTTACAGGCACAATCATAGTTCAGTGCAACCTTGAACTCCTGGCTTCAGTCTTTCTGCGTGAGCCTTGCGAGTAGGTGGTCCTGTAGTGGCATGCAACCATGCTTGGCTTGATGGTCTTTTTTGTTGTCATTATTAGAAATGTGCCCATGATACCCATTACTGGCTAAACATTCCACAATGCACAAGACCGCTTTGGACAACAAATAATGTCCATTCCAAAGCACTCTGCTCTAATAAGCTCTAAGTGTTCTACAGTGTTAACTTTTAAAGTTTAGCCTTTTAGATTTATATATTTTTATCCATCCGCGGTGGAATATTCTGAAAAGTTAATTGCCTGTTAAAATTGCATAAATTATGTTTTTATTGTAAGTAAGAAGGCAGTTTACCTAACTCCTGGGTTTCAATTAATTTCTTCAACTGATCTATTAGCAGTACTTGTTTTGTTGAAAAATTGAATAAGATAATGTATCCAAAGTATTTTGAGTCCATACTGATGATGATAAATGCCAGAGAAGAAAGTCATTTTAACTTATAAAGATAGAGGTCATTATGATGGAATTGTAATCTTTAATGCATGCTAATAGTAATGGGTATATGTTTGAAGAGCAGGATAATTATGTAGCTTCAAAATATCTCCCCACAAATTATGCTGTATTACAAAGGGGGAAAACAACTTCAGTGAGAAACCTGTCAGATAAAACCATGTTAGTCTATTGATCAAAGGATCACCAGCTGAAACCTACATCATGTGTTTCATAAAATATACTGAAGAAAACAATGTAGTTTGTCATAGGGTTATAATACCTAATCTGAATTTAGAATACCAGAGAAATTCAAATCAGGGGACATTTCTGCAAAACAACTGACTTGTACTTTTTTTTTTGAGGCAGAGTCTTGCTGTGTTTCCCAGGATGGAATGCAGCAGTGCAAACTTGGCTCACTGCAGCCTCTGCTTCTTCAGTTCAGGCAATTCTCCTGGCTCAGCCTCTCCAGTAGCTGGGACTATCTGCACGCCTACCACACCTGGCCAATGTTTTGTATTTTTGGTAGAGATGGGGTTTTACCACATTGGTTAGGCTGCTCTTGAACTCCTGACCTCAAGTGATCCATCCGCGTCTGCCTCCCACAGTGCTGGGATTACAGTTGTGAGCCACTGTACCTGGCCCTGACTTGTAGCAAACAGGGGCCGGGCGTGGTGGCTCAAGCCTGTAATCTCAGCACTTTGGGAGGCCGAGGCGAGTGGATCACGAGGTCAAGAGATTAAGACCATCTTGGTCAACATGGTGAAACCCCGTCTCTACTAAAAATACAAAAAATTAGCTGAGCATGGTGGCGCGTGCCTGTAATCCCAGCTACTCAGGAGGCTGAGGCAGGAGAATTGCCTGAACCCAGGAGGCGGAGGTTGCCGTGAGCTGAGATCGCGCCATTGCACTCCAGCCTGGGTAACAAGAGTGAAACTCCGTCTCAAAAACAAACAAAAAACAAAGCAAACTAATTATTAAATTAAAAAGAAACTGTTCCAAAAAGACCAGTACCATGGGTTAGGAAAACAGGCTATCCAGCAGTAGATGGTAATTACATTATACTGCATTGAATCCAAAACACCTTCAAATGTATAAGCCACCAATATTTTATGTCCTGTGCAAAAACAAAAGGAATTCCACCAATTGTAATATATGACACATCACCAGTGGGACACATTGTTTCAGAAATGTTAAAGTAGAAATAAAACAGTGGGCACTTTAGAATAAAATATGGTAAATTAAAATGTCGCCTTTACTACTTAGGGATAAATTCTTATTTCTGACGCAGTTTCAAACGTTAGAAGTGGCAAGAAGAGGCTCTTTCTCTAAGACGAATGCTTTTGGTGTGATCATAGCTCACTACAGCCTTGAAGTCCTGGGCTCAAGCACTCCTCCCAGCTCAGCCTCCCAAGTAGTAAAGACTACAGACATGTGCCACCACACCTGGCTTATTTTTAAATTATTTCGTAGAGATGAAGTCTTGCTGTGTTCCCAGGCTGGTCTTGAAACACCTTCCTCAAGCAGTCCTCCCACAATCACCTCCCTCCCAAAGTGCTGGGGTTACAGGCGTAAGCCACTCTTATGTAGAGTTGTTGTTTTTTTTTGAGACGGAGTCTTGCACTCTCGCCCAGGCCAGAGTACAGTGGTTCGATCTTGGCTCACTGCCACCTCTACCTCCTGCGTTCGAGCGATTCTTCTGCCTCAGCCTCCTTGAGTAGCTGGGATTACAGGTGCCTGCCACATGCCTGGCTCATTTTTTTATTTTTAGTAGAGATGGGTTTCACCGTGTTGGCCAGGCTTGTCTGGAACTCCTGAGCTGCCTCAGCCTCCCAAAGTGATCTGCCTGCCTCAGCCTCCCAAAGTGCTAGGATTATAGGCGTCAGCCACCACGCCAGGCCCATGTAGAGCTTCTGAATACGAAGGATCCCACAGTTGTATGAGGGCAGTGCAGATTGAGTGTCCTTTCTTTGAAATGCGTGGGGCCAGAACTATTTTAGGTTAAAATTTTTTTTTTAACTGTTTGCATTATACTTACTTGCTTAGTATATACCTAAAATTCAAAAATCCAAACTCCAAAATATTCCGAGCATGTCCTTTAAACACTGTCATTCAAAAATTTCAGATTTTGGAGTGTTTGGGATTTAGATTCTTGCTTTTGGGATGCTCAACCTGTAATAGCAACCTAAAACAGGAAAATTGGTTTAATTGTCAATTAATTATTTATCCTACTTGACATGTGTTTTAGATATCTGTCACTTCTTCATGTGCTTGTTAAAGGTAATTGCTGTGCATGGTGTTTTTGTAACTACATGTATGAAATACTAGTATAAAAATTGCTTACCTTTATTTTGGCATAATTTTTGACAAAGTGATTGAAGATACGAAATGTTTGTTGGAAAATTTTGAAATATTTTGGTTGTACTGTGTACAAGTTCTTTTCAGAGGTGCAGATTAGTTTCAAGAGAAAACCAGACTGAGTGTAGTGTCTCACACCTGTAACCCAGCACTTGGGGATGCTGAGGTGGACACATCACCTGAGGTCAGGACTTTGATGCTAGCCTGGCCAACATGGTGAAACCCCGTCTCTACAAAAACATAGAAATTAGCTGGACTGATGGCGTGTGCCTGTAATCCCATCTACTCGGCTGAGGCGGGAAAATATTGAACCTGGGAGGTGGAGGTTGCAGTGAGCTAAGATTGCACCATTACAACAGCCTGGGGAACAGGAAAAGATTCCATCTTGAAAAAAAAAAAAAAGAAAAGAGAAAGCCAGTACTCAGAAAATTCTAATGATGACAGATGCAGAGGAAAGGGATATGGCAGAAATTTAGCCACATGTTCATTAAATTTTCTGTCTCTTTTCTTCCTGTCTGTTACCCAGGCCAAAGTGTTGCGGTACGGTTATAGCTCATTGCAGCATTGAACTCCTGGGTTGCAGTGATCCTCCTTCCTCAGCCTCCCAAGTAGCTGGGGCTACAGGCATATGCCATGACCCCTGATTAACTTTTTTTTTCTTTTTTTTGGAGAAGGAGTTTTGCTATGTTACCCAGGCTGGAGTACAGTGGTGCAATCTTGGCTTATTGCATCCTCCACATCTGGAGTTCACGTGATTCTCCTGCCTCAGCCTCCTGAGTAGCTGGGACTACATGCGTGCACCACCATGCCTAGCTAATTTTTGTATTTTTAGTAGAGATGGGGTTTCACCATGTTAGCCAGGCTGGTTTTGAATGCCTGGCATCACGCAATCTGCCTGCCTCGGCCTTCCAAAGTGCTGGGACTACGGATGTGAGCCACCACATCTGGTCTCAACTTTTTAATACTTACTGTGAAGATGAGGCCTTGCTATCTTTCCCAGGTTGGCTTTAAACTCCTGGCTCAAGCAATTCTCCTGCCTCAGCCTCTTAAAGCGATGGGACTGCAGTCATGACCCACTGTGCCCAAACCCAGCAAAGTTTCTTTTTTAGAAAATCAGATTCATACTCAGAAGGCTGGGGCAGGAGAATTGCTTGAACCCAGGGGGCAGAGGTTGCAGTGAGCCAAGATTGTGCCACTGCACTCCATCCTGAGCAAAAGAGTGAGATTTCGTCTAAAAAAGAAATAAAAAAAGAACAAAAATCTTTTTGGTTTACTTAGATGTTCCGGGGAATAGGAAGTGATATTTTTCACCTTATCCCCCTTTATTTTAGGAGTGTTTCTCAGGAGTTATCGGAAACTATTCTTACCATGGTAGCCAATTGCAGTAATGTTATGAATAAGGCCAGACAACCACCACCTGGAGTTATGCCAAAAGGACGTCCTCCTAGTGCTAGCAGCTTAGATGCCATTTCTCCTGTTCAGGTAAATGACTGCTACATTTGATACATGTTCGTTTGCCATAGACTCGAAATAGAATAAGCTTCTATGTTATTAGTAAATTGTCTGAATTTATTACATCTTAGATAACTGCATGTCTACCATCCACTAATTTTAAAGGAGATCTAAATAGGCGTTATAGCTAAGAATAGATTTTTAATCATCAAATAGAACGTGACTCTTAAGAGGAAATATATAAACCAACTTATTTAGGTAAATAAAAAGGGTTTCTTTTTAAAATAAGAATTACATAGACTCTTGAGACATAAGCACTGCCTTTGAACCTGATATGTCTTGTTTGTAGCTTCACGGGCCAAGCAACAGTGCTAGAGCATAACGACTTGTTATAACTGGGGCTCTTCAGCTCTCAACTGAACTGCTCTTTTAAAAACAAGGTACATTTAAGTTACTCCCTGACATCAACCACCGCTTTCTCTCTGGGAGCAACATATTGCGCTTCTGTTTTCAGATGCATTGAATGGCAGATTTGGGTTTTAAGGAAAGAAAGAGGCACTTAGTGATTCAGTGGCTACTTTATATAAGGCATTTGCTTTCATTTTCTATAGCCATGAGGTATGAAGTACTTCCAGAAACTTAAGCCTGGAAGTGCAGTTATTAGATGTTTTTAAAATAATATGTTTTGGTAAACAGCATACCTTGTTTTTGTTTTCAAAATTGGAGCTGATCTTCCCCCACTTCCAAAATCCCCAAATTTTGACTAAGTTTATTTTGACCGGGAGATTTGTTTCTAATTTCTGATACTTTTATTTATGTTTAAACAACTTAAATTTAGCTTGAGAGGTTGTTTTAAAGTGGCTTATTGGAAATTTTGAGGATTTATTAATATCTTAACTGTCCCATGTCACTGCTAAATGTTTAGTGGTACATTTACAAGGCAGTTCATCTTAAGTATCATTCATTGGGTTTTGTAGCCCTTTTTATGGCTCTGTTATAGGTTGAGCAACCTTTTTTTTTTGAGACGGAGTTTCACTCTTGTTACCCAGGCTGGAGTGCAATGGCGCGATCTCGGCTCACTGCAACCTCCGCCTCCTGGTTTCAGGCAATTCTCCTGCCTCAGCCTCTTGAGTAGCTGGGATTACGGCATGAGCCACCATGCCCAGCTAATTTTTTGTATTTTTAGTAGAGACGGGGTTTCATCATGTTGACCAGCATGGTCTCGATCTCTTGACCTCGTGATCCACCCGCCTCGGCCTCCCCCAGTGCTGGGACTACAGGTGTGAGTCACCGCGCCCAGCAGGTTGAGCATCCTTAATCTGTAAATCCAGAATGCTCCAAAATCTAAAACTTTTGGAGCACTGACATGACACACCACAAGTAGAAAATTACATACCTGATCTGATGTTACGTGTTCAGTCAAAACAGTCATAATTTTGTTTCATGCACAAAATCCTTAAAAATATTGTATAAGATTACATTCTGGTTATGTGTGTAAAGGTATATGTGAAACACATGAATTTCATGTTTCCAGTCCCATGATGGGATTGTTATACCTGGTTATGTATATGTAAATATTCCAAAATCCAAAATTGAAAACTTTTCTGGTCCCAAGTATTTTTGATAAGGAATACTCAATCTGTATTTTGTCAAAGGCAAACTCTTTAAACCTAGTCCATATATGACATAGTAAGAAAAGTAACTGACACACTTGACTTGGTAACTGAAATTTAAGTATCATGATTGAGCAGGTGTTAGAATTTGCTTTTTAAGAGTATGAAGAGCTGCTGTTAAAGATTGCTTTACCTGTGTCTGCCTTTCCTTGATGTATGTTTAATACATTTTTATAATGTTTTTCTTTAGATTGACCCTCTTGCTGGAATGACATCTCTTAGTATAGGTGGTTCAACTGCCCCTCACACCCAGAGTATGCAGGGTTTTCCTCCAAATTTGGGTTCTGCATTCAGTACCCCTCAGTCACCAGCAAAAGCATTTCCACCCCTTTCAACCCCCAATCAGACCACTGCATTCAGTGGTATTGGAGGACTTTCATCACAGCTTCCAGGTAAGGGGGAGGCAAATGAGAGCATGGATTATTCATAAGTTTCAGTATTCCTTAGTGTTTGGTAAAGGGTTTGGAAAGCTGCTTAAATGAAAATGTGAAGCCTGCTTTACTATCCAAAGTTGTAAAGAGAAAAACATATTATATTCAATTCAGTCTAATTGGAGTAAAGAAGTAGGATATTTGTAGTTGTAAAGTTAGTTGAATTATTTAGTAAGGATTTTATATTAACAAATGATAGTATAAATGGTAACTTGTGTTAATCACATTCTAAAGGGCTTAGATCAAGAACTCAGCTTTGTGAATTACTTCAACTTGGTATGATAAAGGTAGAAACTATTGTACACGTCAGGTTCAGGCATATGTTCTGCCTGCCTTACTGTGTTTCACCAACCTTGAAAATGATAGGACATCTCTAAAACATTTTCAGGTTTTTTTGTTTGTTTGTTTTTTGAGACAGGATTTTGCTCTTGTTGCCCAGGTTGGAGTGCAATTGGGCAGTCTCAGCTCACTGCAACCTCTGCCTCCCATGATTAAGTGATTCTCCTGCCTCAGACTCCCAAGTAGCTGGGATTACAGTTGCTCACCACCACGTCTTGCTAAGTTTTTGTATTTTTAGTGGAAACTGGGGTTCACCATGTTGGCCAGGCTGGTCTTGAACTCCTGACCTCAAGTGATCACCGATCTCAGCCTCCTGAAGTTCTGGGATTACTGGCATGAGCCAGCCACCCCAACTGGCCTCATTTTCAGTTTTTTCCCACCAGATATCGTGGCATGTAACTTTACGTTGAAAGAAAAGCTACATTTTTGTTGTTGTTGTTGTTTGTACCTACTTCTTAGCCTCCTTTACCTTTTATGTTGACACCATAAGTTCAGGTACCAAAACCTAAGGACTTCAATGTTGTCATGACTCTAATATAGTTAACATTGCTACTACATAGTTCTAGCTTTGAAGATTGGTTCATTTAAATAAAGGTTAATGAACTTACTAGGCCTTCCTAACGAAGCTCTAATTATTGTAAGATTCCATTTGTCAGAGTTGAGAGGAATGAAGAGACTCATGATAATTAGGAGATAGTACCATGAAATTATCTGATTAGAATCATTGAGAAAAGCCAGCCAGCTCCTTTTTTTTTCTTGAGATGGAGTCTCGCTCTTGTTACCCAGGCTGGAGTGTTTTTTGAGATGGAGTTTCGCTCTTGTTACCCAGGCTGGAGTGTTTTTTGAGACGGAGTCTCGCTCTTGTTACCCAGGCTGGAGTGTTTTTTGAGATGGAGTTTCGCTCTTGTTACCCAGGCTGGAGTGCAATGGCGCGATCTCGGCTCACTGCAACCTCCGCCTCCTGGGTTCAGGCAATTCTGCCTCAGCCTCCTGAGTAGCTGGGATTACAGGCACACGCCACCATGCCCAGCTAATTTTTTTTTTGTATTTTTAGTAGAGACAGGGTTTCACCATGTTGACCAGGATGTTCTCGATCTCTTGACCTCGTGATCCACCCACCTCAGCCTCCCAAAGTGCTGGGATTACAAGCTTGAGCCACTGCACCCGGCCTGCCAGCTCCTTATTTTAACTACCTTGGGTATGGGAGTGTGTGCCTTGAAAATATATACATTAATTTTTTGCACATTATCAAGAATATAAATATTTCCAGATGCTGAAGAATTTTGGGATTATACGTTATTGCCTAGTTTACAGGCTCTGTAAAATTGAATAGATGTAATAAGGGAATTAACAAAGATTCTGACTTTTGAAATAAGAGTTATATGACTTCATTTTAAAAGTCAGTCTTATTAACATATGAGATGTGAATAAAATCAAGAATATGAATAATGATAGGATTTCTGGCTGCCTTCGTTTTCTCTAGTAGGTGGTCTTGGCACAGGCAGCCTGACTGGTATAGGAACTGGTGCTCTTGGACTCCCTGCAGTGAATAACGACCCTTTTGTACAGAGGAAACTGGGCACCTCTGGATTGAACCAGCCTACATTCCAGCAGAGTAAGATGAAACCTTGTAAGTCGTAGTGTTGTCTGTGATTGTGAAGTGTGACTGATATAAATTAAAAATGTTTAGTTTTATGTCTCATTTGTGTTAATATGGCCATATGTTGATGTGCTTCCTATACCAGTGGGAATAAATTAACAAATTTGAATTATTAAAATAAAAGTTAGCAGTATCCCTCCACTGTTGCTGTGGATTTCCAGAAAAAAGTCATGGTTAATAAGAGGCTGCATCCTGAGGATGTTTATCCTAAAAGTAAGAAGTAGGTATGATAAAGAGGAATTCATATGTTGTAGATAAACAAATGTAACTCTTGTACTTATCCTAAAAATGTGTTGGTTTTCTTTTTTTTTAAGCAAGTCAGGAATGGCAGGAAAAACTTCAGATTTCTGTTTCCAATATTTGTTTCACCTCCTTAGTAATTTTTTTATTTTAACTAAACTCATAGAAGTCATCTTTATAAATCCATAGGTATAACAGACTTAAGTCCTTGTCATTGGGACTGCATGGTCATAATACGAGGTTTGAAAGTATTCCAGCTGACTTGATAACGTTAGTATGAAAGGCTTGTCTGAATGTTATGTTTTGTAGCATGCTTTGTGTTCACATCAGTCTCATGCACATGCGTGATAATTCTTATATGTTAAATGTGATTTTTATTATAAAGTGATAAAAACTTGTTAACCTCTAATGAGGTTGTATTAAGGGTAAGTGCATTATGAGTTTGAACCAAGTTAACTTTTGTATTATAGTAAGTCGTGATGAAGATAGTACTAACGTAGAATTATGGAAGGCACTTTGTTAAAGATCTTTTATGTCTACCTTAGAACACATTAATTACTGAAACTTGACCACTTAATACTTTTCTGATTTTTAAATATTTTTCTTAAAGTTAGAACTACAGTTGTCTCTGGCTTCTCTGTGTTTTATGGGGAAGTAGAGGAACAGCTTAAATGCCCACTAATTGCTTTTTGTTTCCAACAGCGGACTTGTCTCAGGTGTGGCCAGAAGCAAACCAGCACTTTAGTAAAGAGATAGATGATGAAGCAAACAGCTATTTCCAGCGAATATATAATCATCCACCACATCCAACCATGTCTGTTGATGAGGTGAGTGTCTAGGATGATGTAAATATTTATTGTTTAGGCCAGACTTAAATAAATGCCCTTTTCAGTGTTTTTCAAAATCCAGTTCAAAGTGTTTTGATGTAGCTGTGTATCTTTTGAAACCTTAATATTTGTCTCAAGCTCATTTGGTAAATATTCTACTTAACAGTCTTTTGTCAAGCATATTTGAGAAAGGCTCTTAGTGTTTCCTTTATGTGTGCATGGTTTTTGTCTTGCTTTTCCAGGTATTAGAAATGCTGCAGAGATTTAAAGACTCTACTATAAAGAGGGAACGAGAAGTATTTAACTGTATGCTAAGGAACTTGTTTGAAGAATATCGTTTTTTTCCCCAGTATCCTGATAAAGAGTTACATATAACAGCCTGCCTGTTTGGTGGTATAATTGAAAAAGGACTAGTTACTTACATGGCACTAGGTCTGGCCCTACGATATGTTCTTGAAGCCTTACGCAAGCCTTTTGGATCCAAAATGTATTATTTCGGGATTGCTGCACTAGATAGATTTAAAAACAGGTAAGTGGATATGTTTCCTGTGAAGAGTCTCTTCCCTGACTGTCTTAACTCTGTCACCTAGGCTGGAGTGCAGTGATGTCATCTCTGCTCACTGCAGCCTTGACCTCCTGGGCTCAAGTGATCCACCCACTTCAGCCTCCTGAGTAGCTGGGACTGTAGGTGCATACCACCATGCTCAGCCTTTTATATTTTCTGTACAGACAGAATTTCATCATGTTGCTCAGTTTCTCCCACCTCAGCCTCCAGAAGTGCTAGGATTATAGGTGTGAGCCGCTGTACCTGGCGTAAAGCTTCTCTCTCTTTCATTCTCTCTCTCTCTCTCTCTCTCTCTCTCTCTCTCTCGACGGAGTCTTGCTGTCTTGCCCAGGCTGAAGTGCAGTGGCACGATCTGGGCTCACTGCAGCCTCTGCCTCCTGATTGTAAGCAATCCTCCTGAGTAGCTGGGATTACAGGCTCCATCTCCTGATTGTAAGCAATCCTCCTGCCTCAGCCTCCTGAGTAGCTGGGATTACAGGCATGTGCCACTGCACCTGGCTACTTTTTGTATTTTTAGTAGAGATGGGATTTCACTATGTTGGCCAGGCTAGTCTTGAACTACTGACCTCTGGTGATCCACCTGCGTCAGCCTCCCAGAGTGCTGGGATTACAGGCTTAAATCACCAGGCCTGGCCAAAGCTTCTCTTTTTTAATATAAGTAGGAAAACTAAAGTAGGAAGCTTCTTTTTTTTTTTTTTAATATTAGTAGCAAAACTAAAATGAGGACAGATTTTTTGATTGGTTATTTATTGAGATATACTTTGTATAGTAGAAGTCTTACCTTTTAGGTGTATAGGTCTTTGAATTTCGACAAATTTATACAGTTGTGTAACTGCCACCACAGTCAAGATATAGAACCCCTGGCCTCAAGTCATCTTCCTGTCCTGGCCTCCCAAAGTGATGGGATTATAGGCATAAACCACCATGCCTGGCTGATGCAGAATATTTTCATCATCCCTTAAGAAGTTTCCTTGTTCCCCTTTGTAGTTTGTCTCCTTCGTGACTTTCAATATCTGATAATCTCTAAAGTTTTTCCAGAATGTCTTTTAAATGGAGTCATACAAATAGGAAGCTTTTTGAGACTTATGTTACTGCATGTTTCAGTAGTCTGTTTTTTTAAATAGCTGTGTAGTAGTCTATATGGGTTGACTACAAATTATTTTTCCATCTGTTGGTGAAAATATGAGTTGTTTCCAGATACCAGTGACTCATTTTAATCTACTTTTAAGTAAAATAGAACCTTTAAAAATCAAAAGAAGTGTATTTTCTCATGTAAATCAAGTGAAAATCATAAGTATTTTCTCCCTGTACTTCTGTTTTTCCTTTGACATTTTCTTCAAATAAGTTATTCAAATGACTTTTTCTTCAAATAAGATGGAGAAAATGACCTAGATTAGCATTTGGACAGAAACTTTTTGTTAGTAGTGCTGCTTCTGTTCTGACATGAAATGATGGCAGAATGATTTTGTTGGCAGATTGAAGGACTATCCCCAGTACTGTCAGCACTTGGCTTCTATCAGTCACTTTATGCAATTTCCACATCATTTACAGGAGGTAAGTGCCCTCTGTACCTAAAATCCAAGTAGCTATGTAGTATTTGGAGAGTTTAATTTTTTCTTTTTTGCACACTTGATAGTAATAGCATTAAGATTTCTTAATAATTGGCATGATATAGGTTTACATACTAGTTGTCATTGCTCATTTTGTGGCTTTATAATAGAATATGAAAAAATGTCATTCTTGGATCATCTTTTCTAAGTAGCAGCCTTACTTGATTAATCAAAAATTTTTTACTAATTCTTTCAACCTGATAATCCAGTTGAAGAATAAACACTTTTACTGATACTAAGAGAATCTTTATCTTAAAGTATAGAAACCCTGCCTGATTCTAAAAGGGAATTGGATTGGGAATCTTGTATATAAAAATGTAAATCTGTTATGAGTTAATATGAGCGAAAGCTGTTACATATAAGACTTAGCCCATGTTTGTTAAAAATACAGGCTTCTTACCCCACCTCCTTAGATTCCTTTGAGGTGCTTTCTTTGAGATGGAATCTTGCTCTCGCCCATGTTGGAGTGAGGCAATCTCAGCTCACTGCAGCATCTTCCTCCCAGGTTTAAGCGATTGTACCCACTCAGCCTCATAAGTAGCTGGGATTACAGGCACCTACCATCATGCCCAGGTAGTTTTTGTAATTTTGCAGAGACGTGGTTTCACCATGTTATATTGGCCAAGCTGTTCTTGAACTTGTGATCTGCCTATCTCCGCTTCCCTAAGTGCTGAGATTACAGGTGTAAGCCGCCTGAGATGCTTATTTCAAAGGAGTCAGTCCCCGGGAAAATAGACCTAAGGAATATACATTTTAAACCATTTTATATGATGGTTATTATTATTGAGATTTGAGACCCGTTGTTTTAGTGACTGATTTTGGGTTAACTGGTAAGCATTAGTTATACTTGTGTCTTGGTTTTGGTCAACATCAGTTTATATATAACAGGAAAGTTGGTTAATTAACTTTATTTTTAATAATGCAGTGGACAAATAACTTTAGAAGATCGTATTTTAAGGCATGAGGAAGCTCAGAATTTGAACCTATTTGATATTCTGTATTTTAATTTAGTTCAGTGCTTTCTACTTTATCCTTCTGGGTTTATTAGGAGGGCAGCGTTATTGTAATGACTTAACCCCTGGGAATGTGGTGTATATTCATTCAAGTGAGTGGATTGAGAGAAATTTAGGAACAGGAATATGGAGCCTGAAAGACTTCTAACGAGTGAGATGGCAGGAGAGTGATCACTCAACACTAGGCCCTAGCATCTACTGTAAGCAAGACAGTGAGAGGGCAAGAGAGAAAGAGAGATCATCACTTTCTGTACTTTGTCAACACAAAGGGCTATTTTTCAGAGACTTTCTTTTTTACTTTAGAAATGTCCCTCTAAAAATAAAACTGTTGTATACATAATTGGTAGATTAGGTAAGGACTGTTGAAATAGGTTGAGGATCCTTATGTCAGCCCTCTAAATTGTGTGGGGATAGGAGGGAGTTTTATTATAGGTCTGTAAAATGGAAGGGATAACCTGCCCTAGAACAACACTTATTATTGGTGTTGCTTATCCTTTAGTTGGCTTGGCTATATAGTGAGTTATTATTTTTTTTGCAATAGCCTTATTGAGATAATAATTCATACTACCATGCTGTTTGTATTGTTTTTTAACGCCTTTGGTTTCTCATTGCTCATCTAATTAGAAAAGAGATGAGTTTACTATATAAGTTATTAAGACTTTGAAGGTTTGCATTTTTTAAGGAGTTAAAGACATTTATATGCATATATCTGGGTCTGCTTCTAGAAGTTGTTTTGCTATAGTTCTCTCATAAATACCTTAGCTTACTAAGATTTTATCTCTGAAGGAAATTCATGGAATCTACTTATTAGTGCCAGGATATGGGGCAGAGTATGGGAGCTAGATGAACCAAAAGCGTACTCAAATGTTTTTTACTCTCAGAAAAGAGGGAGATACAATCCAGGCTTAGCATTTAACGGTAACTCTTTTTCCTATCCTTACCCCTTTAGTATATCGAGTATGGACAGCAGTCGAGAGATCCTCCTGTGAAAATGCAAGGCTCTATCACAACCCCTGGAAGTATTGCACTGGCACAGGCCCAGGCTCAGGCCCAGGTTCCAGCAAAAGCTCCTCTTGCTGGTCAGGTTAGCACTATGGTAACCACCTCAACAACCACCACTGTTGCTAAAACCGTTACAGTCACCAGGCCAACTGGAGTCAGCTTTAAGAAAGATGTGCCAGTAAGTAGATCTATCTTTTTTGTCTTCCAGGATTTGTGATTATATTGTAATAAATCAGTAGTGAGCATATATTAGAATTTTATCACAACACATGCCTACTAAACAAGATATGAAAGACTGACATTTCTTCCTTTGTATCTCCCATCCTTATATTTTCCAGAGGCAAACATATTAATAGTTCACTGTTCTTCCTCAGATTTCTGATACACAATCATACCATGTGTATTTTTTAACACTAAATTTGTGTACATTATTGGATTTTTTTTCAAGGAAGCATTTCAACTTATTTGTTTTATGTACTTTATTTTTTTTTAGCCTTCTATTAATACTACAAATATAGATACGTTGCTTGTGGCCACAGATCAAACTGAGAGAATTGTGGAGCCCCCGGAAAATATCCAGGAGAAAATTGCTTTCATTTTCAATAATCTCTCACAGTCAAATATGACACAAAAGGTGAGCATGCTGTCACAGTTTATAAATTTCTCTTTTTTAATGGACAAATGGATATATTGCTGACCCCTTCAAATACTTTAAAGGTAGAGGTAATAAAATCAAAGCAAAGGGAATATGTATATCCAACTAGTGGTTTTGGTAGACATTAGTACCAGTTTTTAAAGTTTAGTTTTGCAATGATTTATAGGCTTTTTGAAATAAGCTTAATGTTCTCATGATGATAGAAAGTTTCATGTGCTAGTCATTAGTCATAACTCAATTTTTCCCAATGAATATTGAGAGTATTTATTACAAACTGGTAACTGAGGCAGACATTGTGAAAAGCATAAAGATTGCTACTTGACTTCTCAGATTATATGGTAAAAGAGTATAGTTGACCCTTGAGTAGCATGGGGGGGTTATGTTTGCCAATCCTCTATGTAGCCAAATCCTGGCATAACTTTTTACTCCCCCAGAACTTAACTATTAGCAGCCTGCTGTTGACCAGCCTTAGTGTGGTAACACAAATAGTTGATTAACACCTGTGTTGTATGCCTGTAATACTATATTCTTAGAATAAAATAAGCTAGAGAAAAGAAAATATTCTGAAGAAAATTATTAGGAAGAAAAATATATTTACCGTTAAGTAGAAGTGGATCATCTAGATCTTTATCTTCATGTTGGATAAGCTGAGGAGGAGAAGAAGAACTCTTGTTGTCTCTGAGGTAGCGGAGGTATAAATAGAAGAAAATCGACATTTAATTTGACCCTATGTAGTTCAAATCCTTGTTCAAGGGTCAACTGTACTTGGAAAAGCCAGAGTTAGCCAAGGATTCCTAGAGATGGAAATTTAGGAAAACAGTTCTGGAACCATCTTTTCTTACAATGTAGGTCTTTTAATGGCAGCTTGTAGATTAGTAATTTACACGGAGATGGGGGACTGCACATATTTTGTAATTTTACAGCTGAAAATGACCATAGATGTTTCACTGCCAATCACCTACAGGTTGAGTTCTGATTGACTATGGAACTGAGCATACCCTTTTTCTTTGTAGCATCTATCTGGTGTGAAGGATAGTCGTGCTTTAGCATATAAGTTAGTTTTGCACGGAGCCAGGTGCTGTATAGTATGGTTCATAGAAACCAAATCTTATTTTAATTCTGTGCTTCCCATGTCATATTGACCGGCTAGGTTGAAGAGCTAAAGGAAACCGTGAAAGAAGAATTTATGCCTTGGGTTTCACAGTATCTGGTTATGAAGAGAGTCAGTATTGAGCCAAACTTTCATAGCCTATATTCAAACTTTCTTGACACATTGAAGAATCCTGAATTTAACAAGATGGTTCTGAATGAGACCTATAGAAACATTAAAGTAAGAGTTGTTTCTTATATTTTCTTAAATTATTGTTTCAAATTTGGAAATAGCTGATGATATAGGTAGGATTTTTGCTATTTTCCCTTATATGTTATCAATATTAGGTACCTATGGAAATTGCTCTAGATTGTTTCTTACATGGAACTAAATTTTATGAAGAAGCATGCCCAGTGCATTTTCTTTGAAAGTAACCACTATTATGAATTGTTTTTGTCATGCCATGTATGATTTTAGAATTTTACCATTGTTATGCATAAATAGCATAATATTGCTGAGCATATTCTGTATGGCATCACCCTCTACATCCTTTTCACTTGCTTTTTTTTCCTACCCTGGATATTATTCATGATAATGTTCTTTGCTGTAGTCCCCTGGTTTTTTCTTTCATTTTTTTCTTGAGATTTGGGGCTCGCTATGTTTCCTAGGTTGGGAATACATTGGTGTGATCTCTGCTCACTGCAGTCTCCGCCTCCCAGGTTCAAGCAATTCTTCCATCTCAGCCTCTAAGTAGCTGGGATTACAGGCGCACCGCCATGCCTGGCTAATTTTTATATTTTTAGTAGAGAGATTTTTTTTTCCCCCATCCATATTGGCCAGGCAGGTTCTGAACTCCTGACCTTAGGTGATCCACTGTCCTGGCTCTTGTTTCAGAGTGCTGGGGGTTATAGCCATGAGTCACCATTGCCACCCCCGCCTCACCCCCCAGGTCCTCTTTTTTAAAAAGTAGAAAATACAGTCTGACAGAAAACCATTGGATTTGTATTGCTAGTGGGCATTTGAGTGGTTAATCACTTGAACTATTATGAACAATACGGTTCTGGATGTTTTTGTTGGTATCTTGTGGTATTCAAGTGCCAGATACCTTTAGACTCTAAATCTGTTTGTGGAATAGCTGCTGTCTAGGATTCTGTGCAGTTTAAGGCCAAACTCTACTGAGCTGAGGCTTATTCAAAAAAATTTAAGTATTTTACTTTCTAAACCATCACATATTTCTTAGGAAGAAAACATTCCAGAATCAGCATATAGCTATGGTCATTCTTTGCTCAATAACTTGGGATATTGGCTTAGAAACCAGCACTATATTTAAACCTGTGGATGGGAATATTCCCCATTCTTGGTTACGCTGTAGTGCAAAAGAATTCCTGGCTCTCTGTTGCACAGCTGACTTGTGCCATTCTGCTGTTGCTGTATGGAGTTAAGGAACATGACTCTATTTAGTATTTGTTATCTGATAGCAAGGGTGGTTGGGATACATAAAAGTTTCCACATATCTTCGATAAAGTTTCAAGACCTCATTTTTTAAACAAAAGTTTAAATATAGGCCGGGTGCAGTGGCTCACGCCTGTAATCCCAGCACTTTGGGAGGCTGAGGCGGGTGGATCACGAGGTTAAGAGATCGAGACCACCCTGGTCAATAAGGTGAAACCCTGTCTCTACTAAAAATACAAAAATTAGTGTGGTGCATGCCTACAATCCCAGCTACTCAGGGGGCTGAGGCAGGAGAATCGCTTGAACCCAGGAGGCGGAGGTTGCGGTGAGCCGAGATCGTGCCATTATACTCCAGCTTGGGCAACAAGAGTGAAACTCTGTCTCAAAAAGGCGGGGGGGATAAAAAGAAAAACAATAACTGAATAATCAGTTAAATTTTTTTTGTTTGTTTTTTTTAAGAAATTTGGAAAGAAACATATAAACAGTATTATACTGTGTCTCAGAAAGTTATCTTAGTTGGCTACAGAAATTTGTTAAGGACCTGGATATACTGAAGATGGCAATAGGAGGCTGATTTGATTATATTCCTTTGTATGCCTGCTGCCTTTAAAGACTTAACAAGCCTGGCTATCATCCTCATTTAAATTGAATTTTGCACTGGAAAATAGCTTTGCAGTTAGGTCTGCTTTAAACCTAGCTAGGGTTTTCAGAGTTGAAAATACATTTCTATGGGAGGATACCTGACACTTTTAACTTTGTGTTCTTTTTGAATTTTTGAATGTGTTTGCATTACCTATTTTGAAAAAATAAAATGTAAAGACTTCTTAAAGGTAAAAATGGCACTGTTGAATGATGAACACAACAAAATGATAATGATATATGGAGTAATTCTACTTTTGGGCATGTTCTTAGAAATGACAACTTGTCTTTAGAGTAGCATAATGGAATTCTCAAATACTTAGTTGAATTCTTTTTCATAAGCTCATTCTCATATCTTTCCTAATCTTACACTATTTCAGGTGCTCCTGACCTCTGATAAAGCTGCAGCCAATTTCTCAGATCGTTCTTTGCTGAAGAACTTGGGACATTGGCTAGGAATGATCACATTAGCTAAAAATAAACCCATCTTACACACTGTAAGTTTCAGCTAAATGTGTAAAAATTGAAAATCTTCATACAGCACGTTATGATGATTACAAGTCTTGACTGTTTGGAGCTATTTAATGATTATTGTGGTTTTATAAGATTTTGGCCCATGTTTTGAATTGTCGCCTCTTTTTGTAAGGCAAGGACTAGACATTATTTTGATTGCTGTTTTCGGGATGAGCTTGGCAGAATACTTTGGTTACATTATAATCGTTTCTGGGAGTATATTCCCAGCTTTTGAAAGTATTTTTCTTATTCTAGGACTTGGATGTGAAATCATTGCTGCTAGAGGCTTATGTTAAAGGACAACAAGAATTGCTCTATGTAGTGCCCTTTGTTGCCAAAGTCTTAGAGTCTAGCATTCGTAGTGTGGTGAGTAGATTCTAATATTTTATTCATGGCTAATTTCTAAGCATTGCTTTGTTTTAGCACAAGGTCAGGAGATTATATCTTTAGTTCTTGTGAGGTAAAGGTAGTTAAGTCTGTTATCCTTTCTGGCACTTGGAATTCCAATTGGAGAGGCTGGGTGAAATAGGAAAGATTGTAATGGTTGGCTTTAGGTTTTTCTTTTGTTTGTTTTGTTTTATTTTTGAAATGTGATATAGGTGAGAAGGCTAGGGGTTTTCTTATGGCATAGGTATTAAGTGTTTAATTTTGGTTATTTTTAAATTCTTGTTTTTGTTTCTTTTATTCCCCCTACCACTTTATGTTGTGTTGAATTGTTTTAAATAATCCAAATTAAAGGACACCTTTTGGGCCAGCTTAACATAATAGCTTTTCTTTAGGTTTTTAGGCCACCAAACCCTTGGACAATGGCAATTATGAATGTATTAGCTGAGCTACATCAGGAGCATGACTTAAAGGTAATTTACTGCTTCCTTGTCCTCTGGAACATTCTTTGCCTTCACATTATTGAAACTTATAGTGAAGGCAGGGTATGTTGGGGGAAATACTATAATAACTGCAAGTAGAGTAAATTATGAATAAAACTAAAATTTTGTTTTAAAAATTCTAATCCAATTCTTGAACTATGCAGTTAAACTTGAAGTTTGAAATTGAGGTACTCTGCAAAAACCTTGCATTAGACATCAATGAGCTAAAACCTGGAAACCTCCTAAAGGATAAAGATCGCCTGAAGAATTTAGATGAGCAACTTTCTGCTCCAAAGAAAGATGTCAAGCAGCCAGAAGAGCTCCCTCCTATCACAACCACAAGTAAGTGTGCTAATTAGTGAAGGAAGGCTTCTGTTAGCCAGGATATTCTCTTAAATGGTACACGTCCACCTATATAGCAAACTGTAATTTCTCACATAATGTAGTGGTGAACTTTGTATACTTTTTGGTGAGCCTTCTAATTATCAAGCAAAAGTAATGACTAGGCCTTGTGTTACCTTCTTAGATTCCATTCTGGCAGTTCATGCATAATACTAACTAAATGTGATTTAATCAGTTGCTTCTCATCTCTTTTGTTGAAAAGGAGGCTAGGTCAGGTTATCTCCTTTGTTGTGTGATGTCCCAGAAATAATTGCATACGATGATGGTCTGTTAACCACTCAAATCTGGGGATGGCCAGAGCTGCTTGATTTGCCAAGGGAATGGACTATTTTACAGGAAGAAGATGGGAGAAGGATGCAGGACAATTGATTGACTGGGAGTTGTAGTTAGAATAAATTGAGTTTTTCTTTCTTTCTCAATTCTCAGCAGCTCAGAATCCCCACATAAACCAAGGAACAGGCTAGGTTGAAAACAGACATCTGTAATATAGACTAAGTTTGTAGGACTTGGCTCTGATATTGTGGCATGGCTGCTCAGTGGTTTCTGTTCTGTGGGGCACTGTCACTGACATACTTTTACATGCTTCATGTCTATCTCTGTTAAAATAACAATTTCTCTTCCAGGGAGGGAAAAACAGTCCCGCTATATCCTCCCCTCATCCCCCTATTTAACTAGTTTAATTAGATAATGAGCTAATTTTATAGTAAAGTCAATAAATGTACTTTTAAAATCTCTTTTTATTACTTTACGTTTAGCAACTTCTACTACACCAGCTACCAACACTACTTGTACAGCCACGGTTCCACCACAGCCACAGTACAGTTACCATGACATCAATGTCTATTCCCTTGCCGGCCTGGCACCCCACATTACTCTAAATCCAACAGTAAGTAAACACTCCTTCATTTTCCCGGTTTCTAGTTTATGATAAGGTAAACTTTGGTTACCTTTTCTTCAGCTCTTTGCCTTTCCCTCTGGATTCCTAGGTTGTAGAGCTTGTCAGAGAGGATGGAGATCTAGAACTGCTATGTAGTTCAGCTGGGATTTTTCTTCTTCCCTTAAAAAGTAGAGTGATGAGATATAGGTTACATTGGTTCCCCATATTCAAACCCATGATACTAAAATTTAGCTGAATATAATCACACTCTTTAGGAATTCCTTACACAGAGTAAAAGATGTTTAATGTATATACCGTAGCTTTTTGCTTTTTATTTTCTTTATCATATCACTTTAGCCTTCTGCAATAAGCCATTTCCTCCAGCCAGAGGCTGAAAATGAGCTGATTGTGCCTGTGTATAAAATTTCTAGGCTAAGATCTTGAAGTAGGACTTAGTGATTTGAGTTATGTTACTGTGGCCTGGTTCTAGAAGGAGGTCTGATATACAGTAAGGTCATGTAAGATGACCTCTCATCAGTACTTTTCCCTATACTTAGTATTTGCTTTGTACATTCGAGGGGACATTTTATTGTTATCTTTATTTAGCCTTTTTCTACTTAAGAGAACATATAATCCAGAATCAGGTGAATGGAGTTTTCATGGTCCTTACATTTTTAGAAACTGAAAATGTTCACAAATACAAGAGTAACATTAATAAATACATACAACATTTTGTATTAAAACGAATTGGAAGGGTATCAGAGAAATTATTTTAACCTTTTCCCCCCAACTCCCATCCCTGTAGACATATTTAGTTTACAGAGTTGGCGTGGGAGGCAGTAGACACCTAGATCTAAAAATTGTGATTCATCAGTGATCTGAACGCTATTATATGCTGGTTTAATTTTTTTTTTTTTTTTAACAAATTCAGTAAGTTAAAGGGACCAAGTAAGTTTTGGGGCATAATTTATACCTGCAATAAAAGACTAGAAACAGTCTTTTTTTGAGACGGAGTTTCGCTATTGTTACTCAGACTGGAGTGTAATGGTACGATCTCGACTCACTGCAACCTCCGCCTTCTGGGTTCAAGCAATTCTCCTGCCTCAGCCTCCCGAGTTGCTGGGACTACAGGCGCGTACACCATGCCCAGCTAATTTTTGTATTTTTAGTAGAGACGGGGTTTCACCTCGTTGACCAGGATGGTCTCGATCTCTTGACCTCATGATCCACCCACCTCGGCCTTCCAAAGTGCTAGGATTACAGGCGTGAGCCACCACGCCCGGCCTAGAAACAGTCTTTCAAGTGAAGCCAAGCACTTCAGTGGGTACTGTAAAATGATCACTAATCTGATGAATTAATTTTAATTTTAATCGTTTTTGTAGGAAGTTTTTTTCTATAAACTTTATTCTTTTTATGTTTTCCCAAGCTAGTAGAGAAGTTGCTTTCTTTTAAGAATACTTGAGCCACAAATTTTAAGTAGGCCAGTAGCGTGTCTTTAAGTAGTTAATGCATGTTATAACAAACAGTTTATTCATTAAACTTGGATTAAAAAAAATAGACATACCTATTATTGTGTGTCACAGGGTATACTGAATACTGGAGCCCAATTTCTGTTACTTGAATTTTTCCATTGGTTAATTTTAAGTAGAAATTAGTAGTTTTTGGTTAACCTTGATTTACAGAATCATGAGTGTGATTGCCAGTAGGAATTGGATTGTCTTATTTAAACAAGGTGTTGACTTTGTCCTCCCCAACCCCCCAGATTCCCTTGTTTCAAGCCCATCCACAGTTGAAGCAGTGTGTGCGTCAGGCAATTGAACGGGCTGTCCAGGAATTGGTCCATCCTGTGGTGGATCGATCAATTAAGATTGCCATGACTACTTGTGAGCAAATAGTCAGGAAGGATTTTGCTCTGGATTCGGAGGAATCTCGAATGCGAATAGCAGCTCATCACATGATGCGTAACTTGACAGCTGGAATGGCTATGATTACTTGCAGAGAACCTTTGCTCATGAGCATATCTACCAACCTAAAAAACAGTTTTGCCTCAGCCCTTCGTGTAAGTTGGCTATTTCCTTGGTGTAGGTACAAAACTTATTACTGTTTGTAAGAATTTTTTTCTTTGTCTGTATATGGCACTGGGCATTAGCACTTTTTCTTAATACTCACCATATTTGTTTGATGTTTTTCGTCATCTTAGATTGTAATTTTGTGAGGCAAAACATCGTGTCTGGGTTTTTTTTTTTTTTTTTTTTGGCTGTTATATCCTCAACACAGTGTTCGACAGATAGTAGATACCCAAATATTTGTTGGTTTAAGTAAAGATTTAAAAAGGAAATATATTATCTAACAATCTCATTTCGGTTAACCAGGAAGAATTAGATTAAAGCTGTTTGAGAAGGCCATTATAAAATGAACTAAAATGATTTTGCATGTGTACATACTTTCTTCAAATAATTCAGTTACTAGTTTTGACTCTCAGATACCATGGTTAATAATTCAGGTATCATGATTAATAATTTGTTTACTGCTTTATTGATTTTTTTGTTTGTTTTTAACATTTGTTTCATGAGATAGGATCTCACTCTGTAGCCTAGGCTGGAGTACATTGGTACAGTTTCAGCTCACTGCATCCTCCACCTCTGAGGTTCAAGTGATTCTCATGCTTCAGCCTCCCAAGTAGCTGGGATTACAGGCATGTGCTACCATGCCCAGATGATTTATGTATTTATTTAGTAGAGACAGGGTTTTGCCACATTGGCTAGGCCGGTCTCAAACTCCTGGCCTCACGTGATCTACCTGCCTTGGCCTCCTAAAGTGTTGGGATTACAGGCATGAGCCACCACGCCTGGCCTACTTTCTTGATTTTAAGGCGTATTCACAGTAAACTGATAAGGTGTATAGGGTATTTGTATCTTACAAGTGAGGAAGCAATTAAGACTATTTCAAGATCACAGCTGATTTATAAGTAGAGCCGCAATTTAAAATGCATTTGCCAAATGCACTGCTGCATTTTCTACTATCCTGTCTGTCCACATCAACTTTCAAGTCTTTTTCCTTCTATTTCCCCCTCCCCATTAATAGACTGCTTCCCCACAACAAAGGGAGATGATGGATCAGGCAGCTGCTCAATTGGCTCAGGACAATTGTGAGTTGGCTTGCTGTTTTATTCAGAAGACTGCAGTAGAAAAAGCAGGCCCTGAGATGGACAAGAGATTAGCAACTGTAAGTGTTTAGAATTTGCCTTTTAAGATTTTCTTTTTTAATTTAAGGAAGTGCCTTATAACAAGAACCTCAGTGACTTTTTTTGTTTGCAGGAATTTGAGCTGAGAAAACATGCTAGGCAAGAAGGACGCAGATACTGTGATCCCGTTGTCTTAACTTATCAAGCCGAACGGATGCCAGAGCAAATCAGGCTGAAAGTGAGAATTGGGGCTCTGTCTCTCCCCGCCCCATCTTTGCTTTATTTTTAATGTTCTTGTTGATTGAACTTAATGGGACTAGGACAGCAGGGTTAAATGTTGTTTATGAGAAAACATCTTAACTTGATAGCCATTTCACTAAATAGCTGCCTGTGGAGCAGGTATGAAATAGCTCTAAATGCCCCTGCTTCTCCAAAGTTGTTGAAGTCCTACTACTGTCAGGAGTCTATGTGTCTGCTAGTTTTCATGTTTCCCAGCTTGGGCTTCTCACATTAATAGTTGCTCATTATTCCCAATGAGACAGTGAGAAAACTAATAATGTTTACCAGCTCCAAGGGAGAATTGCACTGGCATCGTCCCATATGAGGCATTTTCCAAGAGAAACAGAGAATTTACAAATGCGGGTGACTCTTAGCAGGATTCAGGGAAATGGAAAGCCCTCTTCTGAACTGCGTTTGTGTGTGCATGCATGCTTAGTCATGCTGTTATATGTTGTAATGATTCTTGTGTCCCTGGGCTTACCCATATGCAGACTTCCACTTTCAAAACAATTTCTTTTGATTGTTGAGCGAATTCTGTCAAAATAGGTTTTCTTCTTTCAAGGTTGGTGGTGTGGACCCAAAGCAGCTGGCTGTTTATGAAGAGTTTGCACGCAATGTTCCTGGCTTCTTGCCTACAAATGACCTAAGTCAGCCCACAGGATTTTTAGCTCAGCCCATGAAGGTAAATGTGTATTAGATTAAATTGAGTATTTTACCAATTAATTTAAATGTTTTTGACATTTAATATATTTTTCACTTGCTTCCTCGGAGCATAATTTACAGGAAAAAAATACCCATAGTTGTTGAGTTGTAGGTATTCTTTGTGTCCAATTAAGTATGACATATAGGGGATTAAGGAAAAAATTGACATGGGTGATTTAACTTTAATGTTTGGGGAAATTAGGGGAATTTGCATGGTAACATCATAACTTCCTGTTTTTTGTTTTGTTTTGTTTTGTTTTTAATTTTTTTTTGAGACAGGGTCTTTCCTGTCACCCAGGCTGGAGTGCAATGGCATGATCTTAGCTCATTGCAACCTCTACTTCCCAGGCTCAAGCGATCCTCCCACCTCAGCCTCCTGAGGAGCTAGGACTACAGGCGTGTGCCACCATGCTCAGCTAATTTTTGTATTTTTTATAAAGATGAGGTTTTGCCATGTTGCCTAGGCTAGATATGAACTCTAACCTCAAGTGATCACCCACCTCAGCCTCCCAAAGTGCCAGGATTATAGGTCTGAGCCACTGTTCCCAGCCTTCCCCTGCTTTTTAAATAGAAGAATTTCCTAAAATTTTCAAAGGTGTTTATAGAAAGAAAACTTGGATATATAGGGAAAAAACATTTTCCCCCTGAACCAATTGGGAGTAACATGCTGACCTAATGTCCCCATCACTCCTGAATCCTTTGGTTTATATTTGTTTACAAAACCTTTTTTCTGTGTGACCATGGTACAACCATTAAGCACAGAAGTGAATACTGATACCTTACTCTATCTAATTCATAGACCTCATTCAAGTTTCACCAAGTGTCCCAGTAATGTGTACTAAAAGACTTGTTTTAGAATTTCACATTTCTTCAGTTGTCATATTTTTAAAGTCTCCCTCAGTTCTAGCTGGTGTAGATAACTCTTTTTTTTTTTTTAATCGTTCATGACCATAACACTTCTGAAGATTATAGGCTAATTATTTTCTACATGGTTTGATTTGTTTCTCCAGTGTATTCTCGTGACTAGATTCAGGTAATGCGTTTTTTTGGAAATAGGAATAACTCAGAAGTAATCCTGTATTCTTACTCTGTCCTATCAGGCTTTGACAGTTGGACTGAGTATGATATTTTTCATGGTTTGGAATACTTATTTTCTTAGGATGTAGAGGTTTTAGTAGATGGTACAGGTGGTGCTGCCCTCAGTCTGTCTCATTATTACTGATGATCTCTTCAATCACTTGATTATGCTGCTGTCTGCCAGGTTTTCCTGTCTCAAATGAAACACCTCTTCCCTTTTGCCTGCCTTATACTGCCCACCTGATGGTATTAATACTGAATAGCTCAGGAAGAAGGACTAGAAGAGGTCCTCCATGTTTGAATGTCAAAATAAGAAAAAGGAAGTAAACATATTAATAGACCTCCATTTGATACATGCAATAAAAAGCCTTAACATTCTTTTGTCTCTTCTTGGTTGTTTCCTTCTCTAAAACAGCAAGCTTGGGCAACAGATGATGTAGCTCAGATTTATGATAAGTGTATTACAGAACTGGAGCAGCATCTACATGCCATCCCACCAACTTTGGCCATGAACCCTCAAGCTCAGGCTCTTCGAAGTCTCTTGGAGGTTGTAGTTTTATCTCGAAACTCTCGGGATGCCATAGCTGCTCTTGGATTGCTCCAAAAGGTTGGTTCTTAAGCTGTTACTTGTATAAAAATGTTAGGTGTGTAAATGTTTAGTGACCTGCACCACCATCTGCATATTTATGCAGTAATGTTTAAGAATTCATAATAGAAATCAAGTTCTATAAGTAGGTGATCTTATTTTTTCCAGTGTAGAATGCAGTCATGGAAGTTTTGAATGGTAAAGTTGGAAATGTTTATATTTTTCTTAAAGATATTTTAGAAATGTGATTTTTAGAACCTTTAAAAGATAGCGCTTGAGAGAGAGAGAGAGAGAGAGAGAGTGTGTGTGTGTGTGTGTGTGTGTGTGTGTGTGTGTAAGAGACAGGGTCTCTCTGTCACCCAGGCTTGAGTACGGTGATGTGATCGTGGGCTCAAGTGAGCTTCCCATATCAGCCTCTTAAGTAACTGGGATTACAGGTGTGCACTGCCATGCCAAGATAATTTTTAATTTTTTTGTAGAGACAGGTCTTGCTTTGTTGCACAGGCTATTCTCAAACTCTTGTGCTCAAGCAGCCCTCATGCCTTAGCCTTCTGAAGTGTTGGGATTATAGGCATGAGCCAGTGAGCCCAGTGGCCCTTTAGATTTGCAGGGATAAGTTGATCCAAGAATTTGGATCAGGATAGGTAGGGAGCCTTGGGTTTTAACTATAGCAGAGCTTTTTATGAAAATGAAGAACACAAAATGAACTTAACTAGGTAGAATTTAGAGTATGTGTGATAGGCAACTGAAAAGGATGTTTGGAAAGTGGAAGGGACAGTCTTGAGGCTTTGGAAGGTATTTGGTAATGGGCATTGAGATTTGATTTCTGGCCTTGATAGTTGGGGCTGAGCACTGTATTTGCCATGGTTTTGAACACTTTCTTTCTCACATAGGCTGTAGAGGGCTTACTAGATGCCACAAGTGGTGCTGATGCTGACCTTCTGCTGCGCTACAGGGAATGCCACCTCTTGGTACTAAAAGCTCTGCAGGATGGCCGAGCATATGGGTCTCCATGGTGCAACAAACAGATCACAAGGTCAGTAGTCATCTTGGAAAAGTCGTGAGTGTTGGACTTCGATTGCCTTTCGACATAGATAACATAGATATGTCCAGGGGTTTCCCTTTTTTCTAGTAGGTAGATGGGAGGGACACTTGAACTTTCTACTTCTGAGAGGTGAGAATTGTTAAGTAGTTATTTTCCATCAGGTCTCTACCTTCTCCTCATGTTGGATATAGAAAAAACCAGTACCTTGTTTTGGGGAATAAATTGTAGGTCATTGTTTTAAAAGGTTTCAGTGATTTCTCAGACGTGGTATTCATGTATAAGTATTTTAATGTCTTAAATGGAATCCTCTGTTTCCTAGGATTTGAAAGCAAAGCCTGGGCTATCTGTTCTGTTCATTACTGGCTGTTTTTAAATTTGGACACTGATTTGCAGTTGAATCTCAAGGCATTCTTAATTTGGAGCAAATTTCCATTGAGTAAAATGAGTACTTTATTTTATACAGTATAGCCATACTGTATAAAGGTTAGATGACTAAAGACATTTGAACCTTTTCTAGGTGCCTAATTGAATGTCGGGATGAATATAAATATAATGTGGAGGCTGTGGAGCTGCTAATTCGCAATCATTTGGTTAATATGCAACAGTATGATCTTCATTTAGCGCAGGTATGGAAGGAATTTACTTGCAAAGACAAAAGGACTCTGGGAATTATGTTTGTTCTTAAGTGTTTTCCCTCTCAAACTGTGTTTTCTGTGTTGCCAGTCAATGGAGAATGGTTTAAACTACATGGCTGTGGCATTTGCTATGCAATTGGTGAAAATCCTGCTGGTGGATGAAAGGAGTGTTGCCCATGTTACCGAGGCAGATCTGTTCCACACCATTGAGACCCTCATGAGGATTAATGCTCATTCCAGAGGCAATGCTCCAGAAGGGTGAGGATGAAATGCTTTGAGATCCCCGTGCATTTAGTAGTCTAGTATCTTTAGGAATGAATGTGCAGACTTACTAACATTACTTGTTATAACTGCTTTACCAACAAGCTGTGGGTGAGTAACTTTGGTAAGGGCAAAAGCTTAATTTACTGCCAAGCCTTTTTGGCATAGAGCAGTACATATGGTACCAGACTTAGTGTCAGAGTCCTGTGTTTAAGCCTTGGTCATGCCACTTAAAAGCTTTCTGATTTTAGGCAAATTGACTAACCCCCCTTAAACTTTTTTTCTTTTTTGGGACAGTCTCACTTTGTCACCAGGCTGGAGTGCAGTGGTACAATCTCGGCTCCCTGCAACCTGTTTCCTGGGTTCAGGTGATTCTCCTGCCTCAGCTTCCTGAGTAGCTGAGACTACAGTCATGTGCCACCATGCCCAGCTAGTTTTTCTAAAGAGACAGGGTTTCACCATCTTGGCCAGGATGGTCTTGATCTCTTGACTCGTGATCCACCCGCCTTGGCTTCCCAGAGTGCTGGGATTACAGACGTGAACCACCGTGCTCTAGCAATCTGTTCCTTATATAAAAAGGAAATAATTTCTCAAAGAATGATTGAAAATCAAGAGAAGTAATATAAAGAAAGTATGGTACATACTAGACAAGCAGTGAATATTTATTAACTCTGAACATCAGCTACATTTCAATGAACATATATTTTGGGTAAGAAGTAGCTAAACTGAGGGCAGCCATTTGCATGTTATGTACTCATAAGCAGATAAGAAGAGACGAAGGATAGTTTTGCTTCAGTTTGGAAGTGGTAAAGTGAAGTGGTAAACCACTCTTTTGGTTGCTGTTAAATAAGTAAATTATCCATCTGTGTCTGTAAAATCACAACTACGAGTAGACTGATTTTCACCATGGATTCATTGTATTAGGTTGCCCCAGCTGATGGAAGTAGTGCGATCCAACTATGAAGCAATGATTGATCGTGCTCATGGAGGCCCAAACTTTATGATGCATTCTGGGATCTCTCAAGCCTCAGAGTACGATGACCCTCCGGGCCTGAGGGAGAAGGCAGAGTATCTTCTGAGGGAATGGGTGAATCTCTACCATTCAGCAGCAGCTGGCCGCGACAGTACCAAAGCTTTCTCTGCGTTTGTTGGACAGGTAGAGCTTTTGGAAAGAAAGGTGCTTTTTATTCAACATAAGTAGGGTGTGATGCCTCCAGTATTAAAGCTCAGTATTACATCCCTGTTGTCAGACAGTTACTTCCATACTCATGCAAATACAAAATGTCATCATTATGTGGTTAAATTTATAGTCTGTTTTCTCATGGTTGATCACTAAGCAGTAAAGTCAACGTTTCCTGCCCATTATTGGTTCTGTATATTCCATTTCAGTTGTCACAGCTACAAAGTACAATGGGTCAGATAATGAATAATGAAACTACCAAATGTAATTTTACTAGCACTGATGGGACTGTGGGCTAATAAATATGTAAAATTCTCACAGTAGCCCACATTAAAAAAAAAAAAGATATAGTAAAACAAAATGCTTAACTATTGAAATGGTCGAGTGTTTTAAGGTATTTTCTAGTTTAAATATCTATTTAAACGTAGTGACATTTTTTTTTTGGACAATAATTTCCAGTATTTCTTTTCATTAGATTTAATGCAAATTGGACTTTGAGTTAAAGTCTTAAGAATAAAGCTCCTAGCTGAAAATCAGGTTTGGCAGTAATGTTTGTGAATAGGATGAACAGGAAAAGGGAGCCATAGTACCATTTAGCATTCTGTTTTTGATTGTCACTGGCTCCTTTCAGCGACTGTGAGGGAATCAGACCCAATAAGTCCATGTGTCCCAATTATAACTTGGCAAGAGTGGTACTTTAACTGAATTGACGTTGGAATTTCCTTTATTAGAATGCTGCAATTTTTTTTCAGGGTGAGTTGTCTACTTATTTCTGCGGATTGACCATTATATTTCTTCAAACTGAACCCAAAATTTAGGTATATTGCTAAAGAAAGGTGACAAATTAGGTCTCTTTTCAAATTAATGACAATTGAATGTGGAAGGGCTGACTTGAATTCTAAAAATTTACTTGAAATTGGATTTACTGTTCAAAATGAATGTTACTCAGTAAATTGTACTGAGTGTATTTCTCCCCTGAAAGAATCCAGGGAATTACAAAACATACCCTACTGAAAAGCTGTTACTGCATGTTTATAGTCTGATTTATAATTTGAAAGGAAGAAATTGGAATCCGTTGGTCTTTGTGACCATTGCTATTTCATGGGTATGGATGTGGCACCTGTCTCTGCCCTTCCTGTTGGCTTGTTTGCTTTCATTTCTTCTTTCTCTTCAAAAAGATAGTATATTACACTTTTCTGCTTCGTATCCTTTTGAAAATTCTTTCCTTCTTGATCACATCACTCTGTCCTTATTCCTCCCTCTCTGTTAATTTTTCAGATACCAATGTAGACAAAAAGTCCCTTTGCCATGCTGGCATTCTGTCCCAGCAAGGGTACGATATTTATCATAGTCTTAACCAGTTCAGTTGTCTTAACTGCTTATCAGGGACAGTTGTTTCAAAAATTTCAAGATAACCTTGAAGTTTTTTTTTTCTGAGCTTGGTTTCTTTCTTTAGTGAGTACTGACCTGTTCTTCCTCTGTAGCCTTAATGTGTATTTCACTGTTGTCTTTTTTTTTTTTTTTAAAGGGATGATGGGAACTAGCCAAATAACAATTCCATCATGCTTCAGTTCTGGTGCATATGTCATATAGTTTCTCATTTTTCCTTTCTTTTAAATAAGTTGCATTTTCCACATTATTTTAACTTAATATAACATTTCATTACATTAAAATACTTAGACTAGATTTGTGCGTATTTCCATTTGGTACTTATCTATTGTACAAATTATTGATTTTTTTCCGGGGGTAACTTGTAGTTTCAAAAGCTTTGATATTGGTTAAATCAGTTTGTGGAAATTATCATCAAATCCTTGAGAAGTAAATTATCTTAAATTCTGTGAGAAAGTAAAATAGATGTAATTTAGTCTCCTCCTTGGGGTTCATAATCTCTTAATATGATTTAGAGAGTTACTAACAGTTGATTCTATTTGCATGGTTAATTTTCCACATTATTTTGTGATGACCTGATCCAAATTGCTGTATTATCTGTCAGTTTCCATCTTCTCTCTTCTAAATTAAACTTAAAACTGGAAGAATTCTGTCATGGCACCTTAATGGGAAAATAATTCTCCTGATGACACATTTTTTACAATGTAAGAATTAGAAATATGACAGTAGGAACAAAAGAGAGTATATATTTTAATATGAAAATTAAAGGTATATGTGTGTGTTGTCTCATTGTGTCTCTGTTTTTTGTTCCTGTGGTAGATGCACCAGCAAGGAATACTAAAGACCGATGATCTCATAACAAGGTTCTTTCGTCTGTGTACTGAAATGTGTGTTGAAATCAGTTATCGTGCTCAAGCTGAGCAGCAGCACAATCCTGCTGCTAATCCCACTATGATCCGAGCCAAGTGCTATCACAACCTGGATGCCTTTGTTCGACTCATTGCACTGCTCGTGAAACACTCAGGGGAGGCCACCAACACTGTCACAAAGATTAATCTGCTGAACAAGGTCTGAAATCTTTTCTTGCCTTAGTCTTGGTCTACATCTCTGGGCTTTTTTTTTTTCTTGTTTTCAAGAGAGTATCACTGTGTCACCAAGGATGGATGCCTCCCAAGTAGCTGGAAATACAGGCATTACTCTTGATGTCTGGAACGTTCTAGTTTTAGTAGAGACAGGGTCTCACCATGTTGCCCAGGCTGATCTCGAACTCCTGGCCTCAAGTGATCTGCTTGCCTGGGCTTCTGAAGGTGCTGGGATTATAGGCATGAGCCACCATGCCCGGCCACATCAGTAGTTCTTAACCCTATTGGGGCCAACCCTTCCTCAAAACATTTTGTTGATGCCTCTTTTCTGTGCTTGAATTAAATTCGTAGATAATACATAAACATATCTGCCATGTCTTAGAAATAGAATATAGTGCCTTAACTGACATATAAAAAGAAAGAGATCTTAATGTATTTCAATATGTTAATACTTGGTATTGACTGTAATACGAATTTGCCTCATACACAGAATCACTGTGAGTGAGTGGCTAGAAGTGCCTCCTGCTGATAGACTGGCAACTCAAGTACATGAGTGACATTAGTCATTGGCTTGATTTACACAGCAGAGTTCCTGAAAATTTGAATATTTAAACAGTACAAAAAATGCGTAAAAATGGACTTTGATTTTTGGATTTGGGAAATTAAGAGATGTGTTCTTCAAGTCCCTCACTGTTCAGTGGGCAAGTCAAGTGGAATGGGATCTCTGCAATAACAGCTTATTGCCCGCTACCTACTAAACGCTAAGACAAGTGTAAATTATTGCCACATGTCAACTTCATGTCAGACCAGAAGAATTGGATTGTTATATTCTGTTAACATGGTGAAATATAAGGGGCCTTGCTGATTTCTAGAGCTGAAGAAAAACCATTGGCCATTGGTGGTGAATATTCAGGTGTGGTCCAAGGTTGTTGAAATTCAGAGAAACACACAAAACACTGAAGGCTGAGTAAAACCAATTTATGGCCCCATCGGCTACCAGCATGTAATTTTGTATTCAAATGGCATATATGCATTCCTTTTTGTCAAGTTTAAGAATACAAAGTTTAAAAAGCATGACTTCAAAATGGTGAGTGAATTATCGAATGATTAGTAAACTCTAATTTGTGTTTTATATAGGTCCTTGGTATAGTAGTGGGAGTTCTCCTTCAGGATCATGATGTTCGTCAGAGTGAATTTCAGCAACTTCCCTACCATCGAATTTTTATCATGCTGCTCTTGGAACTCAATGCACCTGAGCATGTGTTGGAAACCATTAATTTTCAGACACTTACAGCTTTCTGGTGAGTATTGTGTTTGAGATTTCGTGTTAAGGTTTGCTGGATTCATGTAGTAAAATTTTAGGAGTAGAACCCTTGAGCACTTTGAGCCTTCATTCATGTGCTGTTCACTGTTTTTAAGTTGGACTGTGCTTCTGACTAAGGTTTTTCTTCTTTCAGCAATACATTCCACATCTTGAGGCCTACCAAAGCTCCTGGCTTTGTATATGCCTGGCTTGAACTGATTTCCCATCGGATATTTATTGCAAGAATGCTGGCACATACGCCACAGCAGAAGGTGTGGCTGCAGTTTATCTCCTGTATAAGACTATAACTACCTGGGCTTATCAGCACTGCCTATAAATTTCTATTAGCATTTAGTAGTAATTGTACTTCTTCCAAACTTAGTTGGGAGTTCTATTTATTGTTCACTCAAGTCTTGAGAGAGGTTTAACCAAGTACTTGACTGCCTCTGCCAGAAAGCCATTCCTCAGTGATAAAGTGTTACTGCTTCAACTCAGTTGTGGGCCACCTGTGTCGGTCTCTCAAGGTTTTATTTATTTATTTTTTCCTTTCTTTTGCTTAAAATGTTTTGCTTCTATATGCACAGAATGATTTATATATTTGTCAGTAAAGGGTTTTTTTTTAGGGGAAGAGGGGGAAGGGGTATTGTTTTTACTTATTTAGAGACGGAGTCCTGCTCTGTTGCCCAGGCTAGAGTGCAGTGGCGCATTCTTGGCTCACTGTCCTCCACCTCCCTGGTTCAAGCACTTCTGCCTCAGCTTCCGGAGTAGCTGGGATTACAGCCGCCTACCACTGTACCTGGCTAATTATTGTATTCTTAGTAGAGATGGGGCTTCACCATCCTGGCCAGGCTAGTCTCGAACTCCTAATCTCCTGATCCACTTGCCTTGGCCTCCCAAGGTGCTGGGATTACAGGCGTCGGCCACTGTGCCCTGCCAGGTGTTTTTTTTAAAGTTAAAATCCATGTGTGCCCTCCTCAATATCTGAATAAATCTCTGGGTAATAGGGCTCTGGAGCTTGTTGGTTTTATAGATTCTCACTCTAAATGCTGAAGTTCTTAGACTAAGGTTGAGGTCTACTGGACTACTTTATGTTGAAGGATTATGATCAAGTTCTATTAAAGAGTTCTTAATTTAATTGGTAATACAACACAGTTAACATGAGAAGTTTTTTTCCCTCCCATCTTGGAATTAAATTGGCAAATGAATACTGCAGAAACTACCATTCTTTGGCCCTTCAGATCAGAAGAAATGTGACTGCTATGTAATATGGAGGGAACTTGACAAAAAAAGGAAGGTGAAATAGCCCTTTAATTAAGTTGGTTTTGTTTGGTGGAGCAGCATTCTAGGAGGAAGAAACACAACATATGAAATACAATTATCCAATAATTAATTGTATGGTTGGGAAAGGGTGAGCAAGCCAACTTTGATAATAGAGGATTCATGTTGTGGACTCAACAAGATTATTTGCCAAGAGTTGGGTTGCAAGAGGGAGAAGAAATGATTGAGACTCAATAAGGAATTAAGAAAACAGATTTCTTGTTAGTTTCTGCAGTTGACTATTTTGTGTTCTATCAGAAGTTTCCTCAAGGTTTCATCCTCTCCCTTTTTAAATTTTGCTACAAGCACACAGGGACCATTATGTCTTGAAATCTGGAGCCAGTTGTTTATTTCAAATACTATTTCTCACTATCTTCATAATAACTTAGGTCCTTTTAAATGCCAATTTTTTTTTCTTTTTTTGAGATGGAGTTTCACTCTCATTGCCCAGACTGGAGTGCAATGGCATGATCTCGGCTCACTGCAACCATTGCCTCCCAGGTTCAAGTAATTCTTCTGCCTTAGCCTCCCCAGTAGCTGGGATTACAGGTGCCTGCCACCATGCCTGGCTAATATTTTGCATTTTAGTATACATGTGATTTCACCGTGTTGGCCTGGCTGGTCTTGAACTCCTGACCTCAGGTGATCCACCCACCTGCCTCAGCCTCCTAAAGTACTGGGATTACAGGCGTGAGCCACTGTGCCTGGCCTTTAATGCCAATTTTTAGTAGAGGTACACCGTTAGTATTCTCTACTTACATTAGCATGAAGAAAATAAGTCAGTGTAGCTGCTTGGGTGACTTCTAGTGGTTGAAAAACAGCTGAGTATAATTGTGACTCATGTACATTTCTTTCTTTCAGGGGTGGCCTATGTATGCACAGCTACTGATTGATTTATTCAAATATTTAGCGCCTTTCCTTAGAAATGTGGAACTCACCAAACCTATGCAAATCCTCTACAAGGTAATTAACTTGGATTTATTATAAATTAAAATAACTTTGAGATCTTAAAATACACTTCAGGAGTCAGGCCTTGTTTTGTTTTTATTAAGCATTTAAGGCAACATACATTCGTTCAGAAAGTGCAGAAATCAAACGTATTTGCTTAACCTGCACCCAGATTGTACAAGTGTTTGTATGTTAGACTTTAGAAGATACTACAGTTTTACAAAGAGTTTGTACGAGTTTATACTTTTGAACAGCACAGAAGAGTTACTGTTTTTCTCACATCTTGCCATACTTGGTATTGTCTGTTTTTCATTTTAGCCATTTTGGAAGTTACACTGTGAGATCTCTTTGTGGATTTAATTTGTATTTCCTTGATGATCTCTCTCTCTCTCTCTCTCTCTCTCTCTCTCTCTCTCTCTCTCTCTCTCTCTCTCTCTCTTTTGGAGACAGAGTCTCTCACTCTGAAACCCAGGCTGGAGTGCAGTGGCGCAATCCCCAGTTACTGAACTTTTGCCTCGCAGGTTCAAGTGATAACTCTGCCTCAGCTTCCCTAGTAGCTGTGACTATACAGGCATGTGCCACCACGCCTGGCCAATTTTTTGTGTATTTAGTCGACATGGGGTTTCATCATGTTGGTCACACTTGTCTCAAACTCCTGACCTTAAGTGAGCAGTCCACCTGAGCCTTCTGAAGTGCTGGGATTATAGGCACGAGCCACTGCACCTGGCCTCCTTGATGATTTCTTAATGAGGTTTTCATGTATAGATAGCTGTGGATGTCACCATCACCTTTTTGTGATGCTCTTCTTCCAGTCTTTTGGCTGTTTGTATTTTTATGTACTAAATAATTCTTTATGTATTCTAAATACAAGCCCTTTGTTATTATGTATTCAAACATCTCCCACTCTCACTGCTTGCCCTTTACCTCCCTCAAAGGAAGGTTGAAGTGTTTTTTGAGGAACAGAAGCTTTAAAACTTATTTTAGTCAAAACTGTAGATTTTTAAACCTCTGTTGAAAAGTTGCTTTTTGTGACTTGTGTAGGAAATCTTTGCATGTCTCAACGTGCTAAGTTGTTCTGTCTTTCACCTATCTGAATTGTCAGATTTCCGGGCATAAAATCGTTTAATGTTCTAAAACTGTTTTTCATGACTGTAGGATCTGTAATGTCATTCCTGACATTAGTAATTTTTGTATTTTCTCTAGCAGTCTTGGTTAGGGTTTATCAGTTGATTAATCTTTTATAATAACTAACTTGGGCTTTGATTTCCTCCCTTTTCAGTACTTTACAAAACTTATTATATGCTTTTACTCTGCTTTTTTTTTTTTAGCTTCTGAAGATAGCTGCTTACATCATTGTATCTTTTTGTCCAGCCTTCTCTTCTAGCATTTCATTTCAGTGTATAAATTCCTGATGCCTAGTTTTTCATACCTAAATGGAAATATTTGATAAATCATCTGTGATAATGTTAATTAAAGCGTAAAACTTTTGAAAAAACGTTACTGAAGTGTATTTTACTTTTTTGGGGGGGTGGAGAAAACGTTAAATTCACAATAGGAAAATGTTAACTCCCTTTTCTTAGTGTGGCAATGTTTTTCTTGTTTTTAAAATAGGGCACTTTAAGAGTGCTGCTGGTTCTTTTGCATGATTTCCCAGAGTTCCTTTGTGATTATCATTATGGGTTTTGTGATGTGATTCCACCTAATTGTATCCAGTTAAGAAATTTGATCCTGAGTGCCTTTCCAAGAAACATGAGGCTCCCAGACCCATTCACTCCTAATCTAAAGGTAAAGTTCCAACTAGTTAAAGGAAAAGTTATGTCTTATTATTTCAGTCCTTTCTCTGATAGTAGGCTGTTCCAGCACTTCCCTACCCAACATACATGCACACTGTTAGTTAAGAGTACTCTTTAAAGGAATTAATCATGTTTTTAAGCCTAATACGTGGTATAATATTGATGCTATTGCTGTTGCTGATTCACAGCATTTTTCTAGTTGCTAGTTTTCGTATTAATTTTGATATTAAATTTAGCTCTATTTATAGAACCCTGGCTTAGGTGTTGGGGCAGGCATTTGCTGGGTGTGCCCACATGGCAAAGAATCACAGAACAAATAGACCTTTGTAATCTCTGTATTTCTTTTTCTTTCTTTGATGCAGAGTCTCACTCTGTGACCCAGGCTGGAGTGCAGTGGCACAATCTCGGCTCACTGCAACCTCCCCTTCTCTGGTTCAAGCGATTCTCCCACCCCAGCCTCCTGAGTAGATGGGATTACAGGCATATGCTACCATACCGGGCTAATTTTTTGTATGTGTTTAGTAGAGATGGGGTTTTGCCTTGTCGGCCAGGTTGGTTTCGAGCTCCTGACCTCAAGTGATCTGCCTGCCTTGGCCTTCCAAAGTGCTGGGATTGCAGATGTGAGACACTGCGCCTGACTGTAATCTCCGTATTTCACAGGTGTTTTGTGTGTCTGTGCACCTGTGCAGTTGTCCCTTGGTCCCTTGCTGTTCTTGGGGGATTGGTTCCAGGACCACTGGGACACTAAATTTTAAGTGTGCTTAAGTCCCTTATGTAAAGTGGCATATAACCTTTGCATAACCTCTTAAATGATACCTGTATTGCTTATGATACCTAGTATAGTGTAATGCTATGGAAATAACTATTTTAAACTATATTAATGAACTGTTTTTAAAATTTCTTATTGTATTATTATTATTTTGATATGAAGTCTCACTCTGTCACCCAGGCTGGAGTGCAGTGGAGTGATCTCGGCTCACCGCAGTCTCCGCCTCCCGGGTTCAAGTGATTCTCCTGCGTTAGCCTCCTAAATAGCTGGGACTACAGGTGCCCACTACCATGCCTAGCTAATTTTTTTGTATTTTTAGTAGAGATGGGGTTTCACTATGTTGGCCAGGCTGATCTCGAACTCCTGACGTCGTGATCCATCCGCCTTGGCCTCCCAAAGTGCTAGGATTACAGGCATGAGCCAGTGCACTGGGCCTGCGAGCTCATTCTTGAAGTTACTACTTTTTGTAGTCTACCCACCGTATTTTCGACTTGAGGTTGATTGGATGTGGAACCTGAAGATATGGAGAACCCACTATATGTTTTTCAGTTGTTGGAATAAAAGGAGAGAAAGGACCACTTAAAATCTCACCACCCTGATGTGGCTACTATAGTTTAAGAAACAGGCTGTTGCCCGGCTGAAGGGCAGTGACGGTTCACAGGTGTGAACATAGTGTACTCCAGCTTCAAGCTCCCATGCTTCAGCCGTCTTCCTGCTCAGCCTCTAGAGTAGCTGAAACTAGAGGTGCACACCACTAGAAGTACCCAGCTATAGTTTAAATGTAGTCTCTACTGTGTCACATGCATTTTTTCAAAAAGGACTAAGTGTGATGTCTTGTCTTGCTGAGGCTTCTTTTCAAAGAGTCGTAATGAGTGAGGAATCTTATTCTGATTTCTTGTTTTGAAATCCAAGTCCAGGAAAAATCAGTTAGTTTTGCAAATTAGACCTTTGCCCAAAAGGTATCTTCCCTCTGGAAAGGAAATACATTATAGAGTGAACAATTTCTATTGTTTTCTACCAGGATTCTTCTAATTAAAGAAAGACTGATTAAAAGTAATAAAATGTGGCACCTATGCTCTTCAAGGCATTTATAGTGTATATAGTTTTAGAAAAACTGTTCTACCACTTTTTAGCATAGGTGTAACTTACTAATACAAATGACTCTTTGTGATTCTTGCATTTTTGTCTGTGGCAGGTGGACATGCTGAGTGAAATTAACATTGCCCCCCGGATTCTCACCAATTTCACTGGAGTAATGCCACCTCAATTCAAAAAGGATTTGGATTCCTATCTTAAAACTCGATCACCAGTCACTTTTTTGTCTGATCTGCGCAGCAACCTACAGGTTAATTTGTTTGGCTTAAAATTCAGCTCTGTCTTCCATAGAAAGCTCTTTCTGTGTCTGTATGGTCCTATGTGTGGTCCATTTCAGAGTTAAGTCTTTATTGTCATTTCCATCAGTTGGGTGAGCTTAACTGGATTTATATATTTACGAGTTCATTTCATCAGTGATATTTTGCTAAAGCTTTGGATGAGACAGCCCTGTGAGAGTAGACCACTGACAGTCATTAGCTGTTTGTACTCTCAAGGTTTTTCTAAATAAATGGATGCTGATTCACATTTCTGTATAGGGTATTTTGAAAGTTGCATGTATTTACAATCTATGCTGTGCAACCACACCTTTCCAGATATTTCATTGGCACAGTGAATATTTTGATTTTATAAACTTAACTTTAGATCTGTGTCATGAGTACAATGATAGAAGCTTTGGCTTCCTGAGGGAAATCACACTTCTCTTATTGGTACAACCACGTTTGGAGCATCTGTGTATTTGTTAAAATAACCTCACAGATTCATGCAAGTGAATCATAATAAATGTTCAGCCTTTCCACAAAGGTGTAAGAAGGGCTTAGAAATACTGAGGTAGAATCAGTCCTCTGCAGGAGTAAGCATAAAGGGGTTCTGTTTTGCTCGTTTAAGGTATCCAATGAACCTGGAAATCGCTACAACCTCCAGCTCATCAATGCACTGGTGCTCTATGTAGGGACTCAGGCCATTGCGCACATTCACAACAAGGGCAGCACGCCTTCAATGAGCACCATCACTCATTCAGCACACATGGATATCTTCCAGAATTTGGCTGTGGACTTGGACACTGAGGGTGAGTGAAGCCTGCCAGTTCTCAGAGTAGAGTTCTCTGTGCTTTTTGCTACAATCTGATGGCAATTCTACAAATGCTTCAAGCCACAATAGTGAAGGACAGTTTTGTCAGTATATTCACAGGTCTGGCTGATTATTTTATCTTTAATTGGACATTATCTGCTCAGTGCAGAAAATATAAAAAAGCACAAAGGAAAGGCTTCTCTAGAATCCTGTAGTATCAGCTTTGGTGTATGTGACTGCAGTTTTTAGTGTGAAAATAAACTTCCTTTTATTTAGTAGTCCCTTTAAACATAGGCTCTTGTGGCAATGTTTTGTTAACCTGCCTTATATAAGCATTTTTATTGGTGTCTGTCTGGTAGGCATCCTGTTAAATATTTGTGTATAAAATTTATAAGACTCTCCTGTTCTGCAGAAAGCTCACAGTATAATTCCTGTTGCAGGTTGCAGCTTTCCTGCTTGAGCTACATTTCTTTTGGTGCTCTTCTTATATAATAGAGACCTCGGGTGCTGTCTAGTTGTACAGTCCTGTCCAGGTTTTGCATACATATACTTTAGCGGGGGACATTACTCTTAACTTTGCTACTGATTCTTAAGAGGTGAATTAGTGTTGCATATATGCTGATGCCTATATGTAGGGTGGATTTAAGACAGCTTAAATTCAAGATATAAAATTGAACACCATCACATCCAGAGCTCGGCAATAAAAGGATGGCAGCCTTTAGAGAAATGTGTCACTGTAATAGACTCACAAACATGAATAATTAGCAGAGGCAGATAATCAGACCCAATTAAGATAGTATTTATTCCAAAGTAGTTTAGACTAATGATTCTCAAAGTGTGATCTGTGTACCCTAGGGTGTCAAGACCTTTTTAGGAGGGTTGTGAGGTCAAAACTTTTTTGAGACAGTCTTGCTCTGTCACCCAGGCTGGTATGCAGTGGGGCAATCTCGGCTCACCACTATTTCTGTCTCCTGGGTTCAGAGGCAGTTCTCCTGAGGAGCTGGGATTACTTGCATGTGCCACCATGTCCACCTAATTTTTTTTTTTTTTTTTTTAAAGATGAAGTCTCACTGTTACCAGGCTGGAGTGCAGTGGCACGATCTTGGCGCACTGCAGCCTCTGCCTCCTGTGTTCAAGCGATCCTCCTGCCTCAGCCTCCTGAGTAGCTGGGACTACATGCGCCTGCCACCACACCCAGCTAGTTTTTGTATTTTTAGTAGAGACAGTGCTCCACCATGTTGGCCATGATGTTCTTGATCTCCTGGCCTCAGGATCTGCCCTTAGTCTCTCAAAGTGCTGGGAGTACAGGCGTGAGCCACTGTGTCTGGCCTTTTTCACTCTTGTTTCAGCAGAGCAGAGACAGGGCTTCACCATGTTGGTCAGGCTGGTCTCGAACTCCTGACCTCAGGTGATCCACCCACCTCGGTCCCCTAAAGTACTGGGATTACAGGTGCACGCCACTGCACCCAGCCAGTTTTTGTATTTTTAGTAGAGTTGCGGTTTCAGTATGTTGGCCAGGCTGATCTTGAACTCCTGACCTCAAGTGATCCACTTAACCTCCCAAAGTGTTGGGATTACAGGTGTGAACTGCTGCGTCCGGCCAAAACCATTTCCCTCATAAGACAACATTTGCTGTTTTGGATCTATTCTGTCATGAGTATACAGCTGAATTTCTCAGAGGTTACAAAAAATACACTGTAATAACAAGTTGAACACAGAAGCAGAAATGAGAATACAGCTGTCTTTTATTAAGCAAGAATTAAAGATCTACAAAATGTAGAAAAACTTAGTGATGAGTGTCACCAGAAAATATTTCATGTTACTTCTGTTAACATATAATGGGTCTCTGTTTAAAAATGAATAAATATTTTACAAATCTAATTTCGAATGTGGCAAATACTGAAATAAAACCTACAGAAATGAGAACTCGGGGGTCCGGAGAACCACAGCTTTAAACCAAAGATTAATTTGAAAGCCTCTATCAGAAACCCAAACCCTAAGCAGTCAGAACTGTCTTCCCGTGTTCACTTTTCAGACTAAGTCAAGGTTTCTTAATTTCTAGGTCGCTATCTCTTTTTGAACGCAATTGCAAATCAGCTCCGGTACCCAAATAGCCACACTCACTACTTCAGTTGCACCATGCTGTACCTTTTTGCAGAGGCCAATACGGAAGCTATCCAAGAACAGATCACAAGGTAAGAGAGCAGTTTACTTTTTAAATGCTTCAAAATGGTCCCCCGTCCTTTCATCTTAAAGTCTTTGGTTTTTGTTTTTCTATGCATTCAATGTTAAGTAAAAATCTTATTTAAAATTATTGTTTTTGATAAATAGTGTTGCTGTGTTGCCCAGGCTGGAGTGCAATGCTGCGGTATCAGCTCACTGCAACACCTGCTTCCTAAGTAGCTGGGATTACAGGCGCCCACCACCATGCCCAGCTGATTTTTGCATTTTAGTAGAGACAGGATTTCAGGATTTTGACCAGGCTGGTCTTGAACTCCTGACCTCAAGTGATCCGCCCACCTCAGCCTCCCTAAGTGCTGGGATTACAGGCTTGAGCCACTGTACACAGTCTTCAGTGAAAATCTTCTACATGTCCAATAATCTTTTAATTGTGGGATACAATTGTGAGCAAAATGGATGGTTCCTGCCCTCCTAATACTCATTCTGATGGACACATATCACAAGTAGAGAATTAGAAATCATAATCATTGCTTAATGAAAAGTAGTTTATGCCACAAGGCACATTTTGATTAAAGGTCAGAGTTTCTCTGGGGTGGTGGTGATAACTTGTCCTAAGTCATGTAGGCGTATGGAAGACTTTGGACTTTTCCTCATTAACTCTGGGTTGAAAGCAGTAGCAATAAGAGGATCATACTTGCATTTCCTTTTTTTTTTTGAGGCGGAGTTTCACTGTTTTACCCAGACTGGAGTGCAATGGCCCAATCTCAGCTCACTGCAACCTCCGTCCCCTGGGTTCAAGCAATTCTCCTGCCTCAGCCTCCCAAGTAGCTGGGACTACAGGCATGCACCACCATGCCCAGCCAGTTTTTGTGTTTTTAGTAGAGACGGGGTTTTACCATGTTGACCAGGATGGTCTCGATCTCTTGACCTCATGATCCACCGGTCTCGGCCTCCCAAAGTGCTGGGATTTATAGGCGTGAGCCACCGTGCCTGGCCTGCATTTTCCTTACAAGAGTTAGCAGTCTGTTGCCGGATTGCCTAGACTAGATATAGCATTGGAGAGATTGTTAGTGAGATAGATATATACACACTTACATTTTAAAAATTGGGCCAGACTCTTGAAACTTGCCCATTTGCCTAATTAAGTTGTACCTATGGTGCTAAATATGGTATTCCTTTGATTTGTGTACCAGAATATCTTATTGGATGCTTAGATGATGTGTTCCATTTTGTTTATATAAAGCTGCAGTACGTCTCCTTGCACTTTTGTTACGCTTCATGTACAGTTGGTACATGAAAGGACATAAAGTTAAGCCAATACTTACTGGCATTCAGAAAAATTCTACCAATTTACACATGCACTAGTAGTAGAATTCTTCCTAACTTTTCATTGAGAGCTCATTCTTTTATTTCTTTGAGGTGTAGTCTCTGTTGCCCAGGCTGGAGTGCAGTGGCACAATCTCAGTTCCCCACAACCTTCACCTACTTGGGGTTCAAGAGGTTCTCCTGCCTCAGCCTGACTGCTGGCATTACAGGCATAAACCACCATGCCTAATTTTTGTATTTTTAATAAGATGGCATTTCAAACTCCTGACCTCAGGTGATCCACCCAGCTTTGCCTCCCAAAATGCTGGGATTACAGGCATGAGCTACTGTACCGGGCCTGGGAGCTCATTCTTGAAGTTACTACTTTTTGTACTATGTGTGCCATGTCCTCTGGGCTTTATGTGGCTTCCTCTCCCTGTCACCCCTTATTCTGAACAGCTGTGAGATACATGCTGTTATCTGCACTTTACATTAATACGTGGTCTTCTAGGGCTAAGAACAGGGTTTCAAACCCAGTTATTCCAACCCATGCTATCTGGAGTGTACTGACTAAAGGTCTTTACCAAAGGTTGAAACTTTGGCATGTGGTTCAATAATCAGGGAGAAGTTAGAAAAAAAAAAAGGTAATGGAAGAATAATCATGAATTTGTGTGCTTCTCTGTATTAACTAGCTCTTTCTCCCTTTTCAGAGTTCTCTTGGAACGGTTGATTGTAAATAGGCCACATCCTTGGGGTCTTCTTATTACCTTCATTGAGCTGATTAAAAACCCAGCGTTTAAGTTCTGGAACCATGAATTTGTACACTGTGCCCCAGAAATAGAAAAGTGAGTTAAAAGTAATTTTTAATTGTCTAGTAATGACAAGAGAATGAAAACCATTTGTCTCTAGGTTGGGTCAGTGATTAGTAGCTAAAGCAAATGCGATGCAAGGTATTGCTAAGCCTACTCTTTAATCACAAATTTGTAACTGTCTTTGACCTTCAGGTTATTCCAGTCGGTCGCACAGTGCTGCATGGGACAGAAGCAGGCCCAGCAAGTAATGGAAGGGACAGGTGCCAGTTAGATGAAACTGCATCTCTGTTGTATGTGTCACTCTAGCGGTCTCACTGCACCGAGTTCATAAACTGACTGAAGAATCCTTTCAGCTCTCCCTGACTTTCCCAGCCGTTTGGTTTGCGGGTATCTGCCCCAACTACTGTTGGGATCAGCCTCCTGTCTTATGTGGGCACGTTCCAAAGTTTAAATGCATTTTTTTTGACTCTTGGCCAAAATTTAGAAGATGCTGTGAATATCATTTTGAACTTGTGTAAATATATGAAAGAGAAAACCTTTGTCTGGAACTTCTTGAGTTTGTGCAAGCTGTGTCCAAGGCAAGTAAGTACATAAACTGGTACCTTGTAATAAAGAGGCAGCTGATGCCATGCACTTGTCTGAGGGCATAGCTTCATGTCGTCTGACATTCCTGGTGTCCCAAAGAATAGCAAAAAGCCAGTTTGAATATTATGTAACTTATTTTTTTAATGTGGACAGGGGACCCTGAAAAATCACTAAGTTATTAAAAATGTGGACGTGCTAGAATTTGCTATGTCTGGGAAGGGCTCACTAGTGGAATCCCTTGCGTTTTGTCTCTACCCAAACCCATTCTAAAGGTGACTGCATTGGTACCATTTTATTTCTTTTGGGGAATATATACCTCAGCCACGTGAGATGGGGGTCAGCTTTTTTATCTAAAGGGAAACCAGACCAGGCTTAAATCCCACTCCCTACCCTCACCCCTACCCCCGACATCCCTCTCCTGAAACCTTTATAAACTGTGGGAATACAGGAAAGGGAACCAAATCTCATGAACTGCCCTCCCCATTACTCCACTGAATGAATGGCCATACAGGCTAAGCTGAATACTGACAAAGATGAAAGGACCAATACAGCTTTTTTTTTTTTTTTTAAATAAGGATTTTGAATGTTTTGCTAATGTATTGGTCCCTGTGTTGTATTTTGTAGCCTTTCGTGGGCTTCAGCTCCCTGTATGTGTATGCATACTGTAGCCAACCATTAAAGTCATGACACACATGTGAGTCCACTGTGCCTTTCTCAGTAGTAGCAGCAGCCAGTGCTGATGGTGAGGAGGAAGAGTGGACGGTTCAGCCTTGCAGAGCTTGGGGCCATTGGGAACCACCAACTTCCTGCTGAATATAGGTCATTCCCACTACTAAACTGGCATGCTTAAGAAAGGAAATTGTATTTTATTTCCTATTTCAACACTGGAAAATTGCTGGAGCAGGTTTCTCTGGTTAAACCAAATTTAAAATGCCCAGTTTTCTTTAATATCTTTACCCTTAGGTATTTTGGTATCTTTTTAGAGAAAATGAGTAGATATGTATTTTAAAACTTAACCCAAACTGGACTTACCTTTCATGACTGTCAAGTTTTACCGCCAGAGAGGACAAAAGATTCAAAATTAAATAAGTAAAGTCCTCCTTGAGTGATGTCTTAGGGTTTATTTCCTGAGGGGTGGTTTGTGCCATCTAGGGTGAACTTCAGGTAAGCGATCATTGAGTGCCAGTTACACTGCTTATTAAATCCTGAGTGTCTTTTAAAGGTTAAGTGACTTCCTCCAACTAGACTTAGATTTAAAAATAGGGTCTACCTCCAAAGTCTGTCCATATATATATATATATATATATATTAAATGCTCTGGAACACAACAAGACCTATTACCACCATATTTCCACTGGCTTTGGTTAAAACTAACCAAATAGTTGTAACATGTGTTAAGTAACAATTAGCAGTGATTGCCAAGTCCGCTGTTCTCAATCCTTAAACACATCCACCCTTACCTCAAGTTTATCCTGGTACACCACCTTTGCCTCTTTCCCTTTTGGTGTTTAATAAGATCCAGATTTTCCTCTTTTTCAAACATCAGTGAGTATTAAAGTTCTTATTCCATCAGGGAACAGGGAAGCCTCTAATTTGTCAGTTCTAACAACTGATGTAAGATCATCTTCTGACCATAGCGAACCTGTAGGGCTTGCTGTTCCCTCCAGCTGAGTTTAGCATAGACCTCCTTATTGCTGAGTACATCTTTGTCAGTTTTTAAGTCTGTGGCATAGGTTTGCAGGGTCAACAGAATGCTGTTTCGAAGCAGTTGTCTCCACGATGCTTTGAGCTTGGGAATGTTTGTGACTGTCAGGCTGCCCTCTTCCCTTTTATCATCTCCCCCTCCATCCTGGTCTTTAAACTCTCTGAACTCTTCAGCAGGCATGCACAGTACCTAGAAGCAACCACAGAGCCCTTTAATTAGAATGCACTACTTGCATACTTCTGAAATGATTCAGGAGACTAAACTCATCTTAGTATTTATTAAAAAATCTCACATTTCCTCTATCTTCTAGCTATTTTGCTTTAAATACTCAAATCAGCATTAAATGCCATCTTCAGCCTTTTACCTTTAGTGTGGTGGTCAGCTCCTCTTCAGTCAGCACCTCCTCCCTCCCTATCACAAAAGCTCCCTCTTCCCCTACCATCTCCAGTTTGCATAGGAAATCCCAGCGCTCATACAGTAGGAGCCTTTCAGCTTCAGTTTTTGTTCCTGTAGATGAAACAGCAATGTGAAAGTCTTAGTACACCTAAGGGCTCTTATCTTTACCGCCTAGTCCACAAAGTCAGCTGCTCTTTGGCAAAGCTATTTAACCGAGGCATGGGTACAGATACCGCCATCAGTGTCAAAGGTTAATGATACACTCACCCTGTAATGCTGCCTCACGAACTATCACCATCTGAATGTCAGCTGTGTCATCTGTGTTGTCAGGATATGGTTCAACAAAACCATACATATGAATCAGTTGCCAGTTAGCCATTTGCCCATAAGTGTTGAAAATCTCATGGCCTTTAGGAATGGGCTGAGTGGCTACCATCCGAAGACAATCCTGAGGTGAAAGGGAGAAGCTGGGGGCATGCCTTTCACAGGCCGGCCCCATAAAGATTACTTCCTTTTAAGAGCCTTCAGCCTGGTGTAGTTCAGCCATGGGAGTGATGCTGTTAACTACCAAAGTTCTACCTTTATTTCCTGTTAGACCCTGAACTGTGAAACAAAAAGGGTTAGGCTCACTTTAAAAGGCCAGCTTCATGTTTAACTGGGTGGATTTCTGCAGTCATCTTCAACTCTAAAAATGAAATTTCTGGCTGGGCGTGGTGACTCACACCTGTAATTCCAGCCCTTTGGGAGGCTAAGGTGGGCGGATCATTTCAGGAGTTATGACCAGCCTGGCCAACAAGGCAAAACCCTGTCTCCACAGAAAAAATAGAAAAATTTAGCCGGGCTTGGTGGTGGGCACCTGTAATCCCAGCTACTTGAGAAGTTGAGGCATGGAGAATTGCTTGAACCCAAGAGGCAGAAGTTGCAGTGAACAGAGATCGCGTCACCTCACTTCGGCCTGGGCAACACAGCAAGTTGGGGGGATGAAATTTCTGCAGATCAAAGTCGGAAAGGAGAATGAAGGCAAGGATTAAGAAATAACCATACTAATTTTTGATCCTACAAACATGCCATTTTTTCTTGCAACTTTCCATATAGAATAGGACTGGTATAAACAGCTTTATACCAGTTCTAGGATTGTCTTAGACCTCTGGCCTGTGAATATCCTCACCCCTCCAAAACAGAGACACTATCTGTTCCAGGCTGCTATCCACAGAGCCACACAGTCTAGGCTCAATGATATGAGCAGCCAGCAGGGAATGAAACATGGCTATGCAGACCACCAAATCGCTAGCACTAAATAAATGATGGTTACAGTTTATCAGAGGGTTAACCACAACTTAACTTGGAGGACTTTAAAATATTTTGCATTCAAATGATTCTTCAGTAAGATGCATACTAAAGGAGCATACAGGAGGAGCTGATTTCACCACTCATTTTGTAGCACTAATAAGAGAATAGAGCCTAAGTCACAATGGCTTGAATCATGTTCAATCAGTGCACCAGTAAGAACTCCACTCACCGCAGAGTATTCCAGATTGGCATTGTGATTGGCTAAGTGGTTTAGTATGTCTGCAGCGGGCACCATCACGGGGGAGTTGGGCTCCTTTTCATCCTCCTCTTCCTCCAGTGGTTCCTGAAAGCTGCCATTGAGAGAACCTGGTTAAGGCCCTGTCTTGGGTGAGCGACTGGGGGTGGGTTTCACTGTCTTTCCCCTTTTGTCCCTCTATAGACTTCTAAAGGAAAGGATGCCGTTCTCTGAGGCCCCAGTCACTGACCTATAGGCCATCACAAGGGCCACGAGCTGGAGGTAGAGTTCTAGGGAGTGAACCCTGAGGCTGAAGAGATCGGGGTGGGCTTCCATAAAGGGCAGCACAATCGAGTGGTACTCGCTACGGATGCTGTCCAAATCCTTCTCCACGGCTTCAGGTACGCCTGTGCCCTGCAGCAGGCGCCGGCGCTCCTCCTCTGGCCTGCAGGGACACCCATACCTAGGTTTTCCCTTCATCCCTCCACGCACTTTACTGGGTAGGACTGGTGCTGCGGGGGGTTGGGGGGAGAACTCTGTCCCTGCAGCAGGCTACGGTGCAGACGCTCCCCAACCCTTCCCAAGGCTCTCACCAGAACATAGGGTGCTTCAAGTGGCCCAGCTCGGGCCAGAGCGCAAAGTACGGCCTCCAGTGTGAGGCCGGGGCCTGCAGCTCGTGCAGCAGCGCCAGCAGCAGTGGCACCCAGCCCGACTGGCTCTGCAGTGCGCCTCGCTCTGAGGGAGACACAGGAGTGAGCGTCCCGGCGCAGCCTCTCAGACCCGCCCCAGCGCCCTCGCCCGCCACCGTGTTCACCTCGCTCCAACAGGCCGCCGATAGAGCAGGTGTACTGCGACAGGATCGCGGCACGCGGCACCACGAACAGCAGCTCTCCGGCCTGCACGCTCTCCCGGGCCACCATGCCATAGCCGGCCACCGTGCCCTGCCGGCTGACCTCCACCTGGGCAGGAGGAGGGCTGGTCAGGGCAGCCCGCGCTCCACCGCGGGTCCTCCGCCCGCCCGCCCGCTCGCTCGCTCACCTTGGGGCTCAACTCCAGTCCCACCCGCCGGCACCAACTCAAGAAGCCGGCCACAGGATCCTGGTCGCCGCAAGCTATGGGCTCTGCCATCTGAGATAAGTGCGCGCAGTGACCAGGCCCGACCGCCGAAGGCCCGCTGAGAACTAGAGGAGACCGCGGCGCGTGCGCAGAACGGGCTTTGGTGGGAAGAGGTGACAAATGGAGAGGGGCGCGAAACCCGCAGGAGGGAGCAGAGAGGGGGCACGCGGACTGCCCTGCGGGCAGAGAAGGGGTGAGGCACGGAGGAGAAGGCTGGAACCTGCGCCCACCACTCACCCGTGGGCGCTTCGCCTGGGTCGCCATGGTCTGAGCTTGAGCCGCCCCGCGGACCCGTAGGTAGCGCGGTCACTTCCGGCGTCTCTGGCCCCGCCCCGGCGCCGGAACCACGTGGTGCCTGTTTTGGCGTCTGCGCTGTGCACTGGCCCGGGTTAGCGCCAGCTGGAATGGTTCCACCTGAGAACATCTTGAATCCAGGGTCTCTAATAGCACTCGCGCGGTCCGCGTGCAGGAAGGAGTGTCCCGTGCGGCTTGGAGCTTGTTTCTGAGCCAGGTGCAACCCTGGCCTTTGGTCTGTCCAAGAGAGCTGAGGCTTCTTGCTGTCTGGATTGGAATCCGAGGGTCTGGCGGCCCGCGGGTAGTGAGCGCACGCATCTGGGGGGCCAGCGGCCTCCTGATCTCGACCCCTCGTTACCGATGGCCATCAAACCGTTTTACTGGTATTTGTTGGCAGAGCAGTTTTCGTGTGTGGATCCCCTCTGCCCTTATTTGCCAGTACATCCTCGTTTTTAATCTGCTGCATAGCACGTGGTGGGTTTTATTTGCTAAAGTAGTAGGGACTCAGTATCTACCTATTGGGTAAAGAATGAATTGAATAAAACAAATGGTGGTTAAACGTGGGGAAGTAGCATGCTGTTAATTTAAGAAAACGAGCCTGTGAATATTGAGGTTACAGGAATGGGCTTTGAAGCCAAGCAATGCCGGAGTCAGTCTGGTCTGTTAAGACAGATCCTTTTTTCTGAAGCTCAGTTGTCCTCACTTGCGAAACGACGATAATACCTACCCTGTAGGATTAACGTACGATTGGTATGTTGACCAAAGAAAAAAATTAACCTTTTAAAGAATTAAAGTTCGTTTTATTTAGGAGCCTTATTGAGGACTATAGACTGAGGCCTGTAGCCCAGAAGTAATCTTGCTCCATCACGGTATTTCAGTTGAGGTTATATACAGGTGAAGATTTAGTATGTGTAAAATCGTTATCAAAGTTTAGAGATAAGTATATCTGGTTATAGATTGCAGAAGTATAATCAGTAACCCTGCCAGACATGAGCTTATGTGTAGGAGAAGGCAAAGACCAGAGTTGATTATCTTTGAAGGAATGCAGTGACTCAGGCAAGAGATTTGGAGGGTAGGTGTGTTTTGTTTTGTCTTTAAGGCATATTTTTGTGGAGAGCTGTATTTTTTTTTTTTTTTTTTTTTTTTGAGAGAGTCTTGCTCTGTTGCCCAGGCAGGAGTGCAGTGGCACCATCTCCGTTAACCACCTCCACCTCCTGGGTTCAAGCGATTCTCCTGCCTCAGCCTCCCAAATAGCTGGGATTACAGGCATGCACCACCATACCCAGCTAATTTTTGTATTTTTAGTAGAGATGGATTTCATTGTGTTGCCCAGGCTGTCTTGAACTCCTGGCCTCAAGTGATTCGCCTGCCTCAGCTTCCTAAAGTGCTGAGATTACAGGCCTGAGCCTCTGAGCTACACCTGGCCGAGAACTGTATTTTGTCACTGTTGGGTTTAAGCTGAAATGAGCACATAAGGCTTTTAATGTTTGTCATACTCTCCTCTCACTGATAAAATAATGTACGTGACTTGTACAGGAAGTACAAAGATGGGTGGAGACCATCCTCTCCTAGCACCCTCATCCCAAAACTGAAGCAGCACCAGCAGCCCCTGCCTAAACATTCTGTCTCTCCAAAAGCTTCCCACGGTGGGCATGGCATCACCACACTGGAATTCTTCTTAGGTTCTTTATTAGTTTTTCAGCACAGTTAACTCTTTCTACGTTGACTAGAGTTTTGTTTTACATTTTGTCATCTCATGACAGCAGCCACCAGAACACACAAATAGGCTCTTCACTTTGTGCAGAGAAGAAAATAAACATTAAAAGTTCACCTTGACCAAGGACAGACTCCGAAGGAACACCACACATGGGAGGACCCAATGCGCGCGCGCACGCACACACACACACACACACACACACACACACTGTATAGAATATTTATAGATATCTCATCTGAAAACACAGCAAAAAAAACAAAATCCAAGATTTGCAGTGCTATCTACAGTAAGAGGGATTAATTCTACCAGCTTTCAAACAGTCACATTCAGTATTCAGAGGAAGCACGTGAAGGGGTAGAAATGGGGAGAAACTAACACATCACCGAGCTCGACATGGCTTCAGATTATAGAAGGGGGTGATGTGTGCAGAGGAAATATGCATCTAGGTGTCCTCTCCGCCTCAGAACACCTGCCACAACCCTCCCCGCTTCTCAGCCCTTCATTTTTTCATCGCTCTCTCCCCTCTTCTGTTTTGGGGTTTGTGACCATTGATTTAGGGTCCGAGACAAATGGCTCTGGTTTCTGGGCAGCAAGATTCTATGGGGTAAGGTGGGTGGATGGAAAGCATATGGCACAGTCCTGGGCTTCAGGTGGAAGGAGGGGGCTAGGGTGTGGGGAAGCCTTTCTACTCTACCTGGCCCGTGTTCAATGTCCAGAACCTTCAACCCCCAGCAAGCCCCAGCTGAGGAAACTATGCGGAGGTGGGACTGTGGAAGCTTTGCTGCCTTGGGCCAGTTGACCAAATAAACTCTCTCTTCCTTAATGATGCTTACAGGACACGCTAGCGCAGCCTGGCCAGAGCTCTGCCTGAAACACCACACTGCTACTGATGGCATTGCCCTCTGGGGAACCTGGGGGCAAAAAAGGGTCTCCAGGAACTCAGCTACCCCTGCCTCTGGCCACCTGTGGGCTCCCCAAGGCAGTCGCCATGAAGTTCTCAGGGGTACACACACCACACATAGGCTCTCTCCTCCTCTCTCACCCCATCAGGTCACTGTGGGGACAGAGGACCAGGTGACTTCTGCCTCAGGGAGGCCTTGGCTCAGAAATGGGACAGGGCCAGGAGGCGGCAGAGTGTGGGCTGTTAGGGACAGTCTGTGGGGTTCCTGCCCTCACAGTTCTCCATGTTCTGTCTTCCTTGGGCAGAGAAACCCCCTGACATCTCTGCCTGCCTGGCCCTACAGCACCAGCTGGCCCAGAGAGCACCAGGAAAGTGGCTGCCTGGTCCGAGCGCCCCCTTGTGGCTATTGTCCAGATGATTGTCACATGTGCTATGAGACAGAAACAGGTGTGCTTGGTGGAAGGCGGGGGAAGGGGCCTCCCAGGGCTCCCACGCCAGTGCCTGAGCTGGCCCCCCAGCCCCTGTGGGCCAAGCACCCACCCTCTCAAAGTCTCTGCCATCTGTAAACCTGCCTGCCCAAGGGCTCACCCAGGAATGGCCTGGATCCGTAGCAATCTCCCTCCCTGTGGCCCTGCCCTCCTGTGCCTGAGCTGCAGGGAGTGGGATGAGAGGGGTCAAATTGGCCAAGTTACCATGGAGAGTGAGATAGGGTGGGGAAGAGTGAGCCCCTCAAAACATCTGGAGTCTGTTCCGCCACAGCATCTAACATAGATCCCCTTATTTTTTTTTCCAAACAGAAGTAACCCCATTTCCTCCCCTTTGCCCTCACAAAAATAAACTAAAGGGAACATGAGCCGGCGCAAGGATGGCAGTGGGACCTCGAGGCGGGCGGACAGTTGGGTGTCGTCAGCTGGACTGAGGGCTTCAACAGGACACCTCCATGGTGTGGTTGACCTGGCCCAGCCCCTCGCTGCTCTCTGAGTGGGTGCAGGCCTGTGGGCGGCTGCCATCCACCGAGCTGGCACTGGTGAGGGACGCGGTGCGGGAGCGTGCCAGGCGGGTCATGCTGGCCGAGGGCACTGTGGACAGAGACAGGATGGGTGTGAGGACCAGCGGGCAGGGCCAGGCACCTCCGGTGGGAAAAGTAGGCTGCAAGCAAAGCGGCTAGCGAACCATTCCTCTAAGGCACAGAGGGCCTCTCCCGAGCCAAGAGGCTGGCGGCAGCTGTCAGGCCAGGGGCATGCAGGGCCGGCGACAGTGAGTGGGCCGAGGGGCTGCGGGCAGCAGGGCCCTCTCAGCGGCTGACCAGGTGCCGCGAGCTGGTGCAGGGAGGTGCTGGGTTTCCAGCTGTGCCTCCCTCAAGAGGATGTGGTGGAGAAGTAGGACTGCTTCAATAAAGGAGGACACAGAGGGTGGCCTCACACTGCCCTCAATTCAGACTCTGCCCTTATTCTTCGGACTTTCCCAAGCAAGGCTTGCAGGAAGCCAACTCTATCCTCCTGAACGCTCCCGGCCACCTCTGTGGCTCAGGCCCAGGCCTGGGCTCTACCTCTGAGGAGGGTCTGTTTCCAATCCCCAGACTTCTGGAAGCCACGAAACTCATGACAACCTAGAAGCAAGACTGCTCTGCAACCCAGCTGATCTACAGGCCCAGGTCTGCAGAAGAGCAAGAATCTGTGGGGTTTCTGAGTTGAACAGGACACGAGAAGGTTCTAAACCACAGCAAGATACAGCCTGGCTGCAGCACTGCGAGGAGGAAGGAGCAGGGAGCGGGAGGCTGGGCATCCATGCATCAGGGGAAAGGGCCGTGGGGCTACCTGCTCCTCCACTCAGCCTTCGGTCCTTCAAGTACGCAACTAAGAGAGAAGACAGAGCCGGAGAGGGGTGCAGGGGTGGGGGAGACACAACATGGTGAAGACCATGGACTGCCGAGGCAAGGGCGTTGAGATGACCCAGAGAGACGGGACAAGGGATAGGCACAGAGAGGCTAGGGGCAGGGTCACAGGCTCTGGAAGCCCACTCCTGCCCACCCACTCAGCAGTGGCTCCCCAGAAAGATCTCTGGCTCAAGGGAGCACTGACAGCAGGTGGGGTGCTTATCCTCTCACCATTCTGCTGGGCCTCAGTCTCCTGCATACAGAATGGGGGAGGCCTGCCCCCTCTGCACGCCTCTCAACTCAGGGCTGCCTGGTGGAGTTTCTCCCCAGGCCGACGAGAACGCATCTCAGCTCCTGACAAGCTTCCTCCGACCACCCCGCAAATGCTTGCTGTGCCCCAATCCCAGCCTCTGCGGAGCCTTCCTGTGGGCCCCAGGGCTCTGCCCTGCTCCAAAGAGCATTCTATTCCTGGGTGTCCTCGCCAGCCTTCCCACAGGCCACCCTCCTGTTTGTTTGCCCTGGAGATAGCAGCTCCAGAGGCTGACGTCTGGAGGGGAACAAAAAACAAACTGAAGAGAGGAAGTTTGCTTCCTGGCAGTGGGGGAGCTGGAGGAACAGTTATGTCTTGGAGGGAAGGGGGAGGTCAACACAACGTACGTGGATGCATGCATGCGTGTGTGTGTGTTGCTTTCAGCTCTCTGAATGCCCAGGCCCCCGGCACCAAGCCCACTCCTGTGATACCCCTGGGTGCATCCACCAGTTGTTTCAAAGGGCCTTCTCAGGTGCCGTAGGCCCAGCTCTGACCCCAAGCCCTGGGGTGGGTGAGGGGGGTGTGCTTCACCCCTAGACAGGCTTCCCTGGCAGGACCTGGCCCCAGGCCCTAGACCCCCAGCATGGAGAGAAGAGCCCCTTCCCCAGTAGGCCCAGCACTGCCATCAGAAGAGTGCCCCGAGTCCTCCCTGAGGGCAAAGGGGAGCTGGGCACAGCCTAGGATGCCCAACTTGCAACTCAGGTGGCATCGGTGTGGCCCAGCATCCAGGGCCCAGATCACACAAAGCTCCTATGCCTGTGGGCTCCCTGGTACCACCTGACACCATGTGCCAGCCCTGCAAACAGGACCCTCCATCCCAGCACTGCCTGCCTGCCTGTCTCTAGGTGGGGTGGGGTGGAAATGTACTCACTGTAGCCCATGCCTTGCAGGAAGTATTTGAAGGCTTCAGTCAGCTTCCCTGGCTGTGGAGGGGAGGACAAGCACATGCTTTTATTGGCTGCCTGGGATTAGCGGGGAGGGTGGAGGCTTCCCCCATCCCCATAGATGTAAGGGCAGGAGGGCCAGAAGTCTCACCTGTGTGACCTGGGGGAGCCCCCCGGAGTCCGCCATCTGCAAGGGAGACAGTGGGGTGACCTGAGCAGGGCCCTCACTCCAGGACAAGCTCCCACCTGGCTGGGACCCCAGGCAAGCCCCTCCCTGAGGTTGGCCCCATGCTAGGGAAGCTGGCCCAGGGCTGGGGAAGAAGGCCTCACCTTCAGGAAGGTTGTGGTGGTTGGGTCCAGTTTGGAATTGCACTCCACCTGGGGACAAGGAGCCAGCTTCAGCAACAGCCCCTGCCCCTGCACACCCCCATGGCCAAGGCAGGTTTGATGCCCCAAGCTGGGGAGGAGAGGGGGGAAGAGAGGCAGAGGGAGACCCAGCACCTGTGAGACTGCTCCTCCCAGGCTTTCTTCTCCCAGGGCTCCCCAAGTTCTTGAAGACCAGTTTAGCAGCCCCCTGAAGGGCCTGGGACCCTTGGAGCCCACTCACAACTGCTGGGAGTGGGAGTCAGGCAAGGGTTGGGCTGGCCCAGGAAAGCCCGGGGCCCTCGGCAGTGAGGTGAGGGGTGCTGAGGGTCTGAGGGAGACTGGGTGGAGGGGGCTGGCACATCCCACCCCCGCTTTTCCAGGCCTTCCCGGTGAGCATGGGAAAGCCTGGTATTTTCTGGACTCAAGGGCTGCTCTGGGCACTTCTGGACCCTGCAGCTTCCCAGCAGCTCTGTGCTGATGGGGCACCCTAGCCCAGCCCTCCTGCTCTCAGAGTTCCAGCAGGAGAGGTGACACAGAGCTCTCAAACATTACAGGCGCAGGTGATGGGGAAAGGGGGACCGAGCCGCTGTAGGCATTTGTGATTTACAATGACTTGATCACATTTTAGAAAAAAGATCATAGGTCCTGGGACTGAGGTGGGTAGGGACCAGGTTGGGGCTGCACTGCTAGGGAGGTAAGAGGGGGCCTTCAAGTGGCCCAGCCCTGGCCCTGGCTCTCCCCATTTCCAGGTCTCCCCCACCAGAAGGATGGGAGCTATGCCAGATGTGATTTGTGGCAAGACTGTGGGAAAGTGGAGAAGCCCACCACCCACTGCCGGCCCCTCCCACCACCCACTGCCGGCCCCTCCCACCATCCACTGCCGGCCCTTGAGGCTCCTCAGGGCTGGGTCAAGAATTGCCCCTACTGGTTCCACCCCAGACTCAGAATGTGTGTGTGTACGCATGCGTACCTGGTTCTACCCGTGACTCAGATCTTCAGGTGTGTGGTGTGTGTGTACACATGCGTACCTGGTTCCAGTGAGCCCCTCACCCCTACCCCCCACCCTCAGTGAGGCCACTGCCCCTCACTCACCACCCCATCCTCAGCGGGTGCGTTATCCCCGACCACCAGCATCACGGGGCAGCTGCAAATACAGAGGAAAAGGGCTGTCTGGCTGGGTCATGGGGGCAAAGACCGGGAGAGGCCAGAGGGCCAGGGGGCACTCACCGGAGCGTCTTGGCATTGGGTACCGTTCCAGGCCGGTTGATGTCCAGGTCTCTGCGGCTGTGGGGGAGGGGCAGAGGCAGAGGTGGGCACCCCAGGACAAGATGTTGGTCATCCCAAGCCCAACACTGCGATTGGTGAAGCAGGGAGGCGTGGACCTGCTCTGCATAATGGACCAGGGGCTCCCCTAGGCATGGGTTCTTGGACTCTCCAAGGCATACCAGGTGGGCTCTTTGCTTTCCATGCCCCTTGGAGCCATGGGAACCGCCACCTGTGCTGTGGGAGTTTCTGCTACTGGCCTGTCTCCTGAGCCATATGGGATGGCAGGCCCTGGGTCTCTTTATTCTCTATTGTTTTCCTAGCACCATGCACACAGCAGGTACTTAATATTTGTAGAAGAATGAGGAGGAGGACAGGTGAGTGAGGGGGCCTGGCCACCCCCATGCAGGGCAGGGCAGCCCCCAAAGAGGCTCCCGGGACATAGCTTGCAAACTACAGGCTCATCCGACCTCTCCCCCGATTTGCAGATGTCAACATCAAGGCTGGGTAACTGGAGTCGGGGATGTCACTGACACCCCCAATACTCCCACCCAGGAAGGCCCCAGGAGAGGAGGAAAAGTGGAAGAGCCCAAGGCAGGGAGTCTGAAGCCCTGCTCGATTCTGCCCCTCACAAAGCATGACCTTGTGCAGAAAAAGACTTCCTTTGATGCCCAATACCCTGCTCATCTACAAACTGGGGTAAGGGTGCTGCCTGCCTGCCTCCCTCAGCGGGCAGTGTTTGAGGGCCTCCGCCGGGGTGTACTGGGTCTCAGGGCTGCTGTCCCCACCCGCACCTGTTGTACATATTCCAGAAGAGCTGCAGGTTGGCCTGGTTCACCACGTTCCCAATCTGCTGCCGGTAGCTCTGCACCAACTCTGTGTTGTTCACCAGCTCCTCCTAGGCCCAGGGGGGTGGGTGGGGCCGTGCAGAGGGGCAGATAGAGGGATGCAGGCTCAGAGGGGGCCAGCAGATGTCACTGCCAGAGTGGCCCTTGCCCCATCCCAGCAGGGCAGGGGAGAGAGGGTGTGGGCAGGTAGGAGGTGGGGCCTTGGGAGCAGATGTGTCTCTTTCAGATGCTGCAGCATCATGGAGCTGCAATCTGGACTGAGCCAGGGCAGATGCCAAATACACCTGTCTGCCTCCTCTTGCTGGGCTGGGAGGGGCAAATCCCAGGGTGCCCCAAATCTGCAGAGGCCCCCACCCCCTCACCTGACTGAAGAGGTGAGAGAGCACCGTGTCAGGTAAAGTGCTGGTCAGGCCGGAGAGCTGCAGGGAGCAGGGCGCCAGCATGAGTGCTGCCCCTCACCCCACCCTAGGTGCACCCACCCCACCCCCGGTCACACACCCACCTTGGTGGCAGCCCAGTCTATCCAGCCTTTGCCGTTGGGGTCGATGTTCACCAGCACCAGCCCCTCCACCAGGTCGGGGAAGATGAGCTGCATGAAGAGGGAAGACAGGGCTGGGTGGGCCGGGACAGGTGCAGGCAGCAGAAACGCTCTCTGAAGTCTTTAAGGTGCCACCGATCAGCAGCCGGGTCCGCACATGCACACCCAGGTCCGGATGCCCTTTCCTGTCCTCTGTCACCCCAGCCCTTCACAGTTCCTGGATTTATTTAGAATCTCTATCACTGTTTCCAAATAAAATTTTTTGCTAAAAAAATTATTCATGTTGAAATACCATGGCAATTAGTGAAGGATGATCCTTATTTAGTGGCTAGAAAATTTAGTTGTATAGTTTGTTGCTATTAGAAATTCTGGCTTTGGATAATAGTTTAAGCAAGTTATAGTTTGTAGCCTTTTGAGAAAAATATATGGAGAGAGGAACCTGTTTTTTTTTTTTGAGATAGTTTTGCTCTTGTTGCCCAGGCTGGAGTGCAATGGCACGATCTCGCCTTACTGCAACCTCTGCCTCCCAGGTTCAAGCAATTTTCCTGCCTCAGCCTCCAGAGTAGCTTGGGTTACAGGCATGTGCCACCACGCCCAGCTAATTTTGTTTTTTTTTTTTTTAGTAGAGACGAGGTTTCTCCATGTTGGTCAGGCTGGTCTTGAACTGCCGACCTCAGGTGATCCGCCTGCCTTGGCCTTCCAAAATGCTGGGATTATAGGCGTGAGCCACCGTGCCTGTCCCTAGGAACCTCTTTTTTTTTTTTTTTTTTTTTAAGTTAACTTCTCTGGAGAAAAAAAGAAGAGGTTTCCTACATAAAGAGGTGGTGGAAGGAGGAGGAGGAAGAGCATGGACAGTTCCTCAAGGCTGAAGGGTTCCCCCTACTGCCCACCACCAGGAGATCCCTGCCCTGCCTTGGTGTTTGGGGTAATGGGAGCATGGGGAGACTCACTGCAAACTTGGCCAGCACATAGGCTCCGGCGCCCACTCCGATGCCAATCACGTACTTGAACCTGGTGCAGAGCAGGCTGGTTACTCTAGGGCTAAGGGTGCCATTTCCTATGCTGGTCATCCAGAGCAGGCCCTGTCCACAGCCTGAAGCCCTCAGCTGGAGCCAGGTAGCTCTGCTGTGGGGCCCAGGGGCAGGATCTGAGTGGGGACTCACCCGAAATGCTGCACCACGCTGGGGAGCATGGCAGCCAGCTGCTCCATGGAGGGGAACTGGTACCTGCAGGCAAAGCAGGAGGTCAGGGCCCAGGTGTGGCCTAGGGCGCACAGCTGGGGACAGGCAGAGGGGGCTCAGGGTACCTACCCCTGAGGAAACTGCGACGCCCCCACCTGCTGTCCAGGGGCATCCACATGACACACCACAAAGTGCTTGGTGATCTCCTGCATGTCCTCGAAGTTGAAGAAGGTGTTGAAGCATAGCTTGTCTGCAAAGACACACCTCCACTATGGCTGAGCAGAGGGGCTGGGGGACTGGAAGGGAGGCCTGCCCACAAAGGCAGGCAAGGCAGAAGCGTCAGCCTCGGGTCCACGGGGAAATGGAGACCCAGAGGGTGAAGGCAACAGAACTAGGTGTGAGTGGAATGAAGGGCCCTATGGGAAGAGTGGGAGCCTCACTGCTCCGGCTGATTGGAGACAGAGGAGGGCGACGGAGGCTGGGCTGCACTTACGGTTGAGGCCCACATCGTGGTAGGTGAGGATGGCTGGGCGGTTCCCCTTGGGGGAGCCCCGGATCACCACGTGTAGAAGGCCGTAGGGCGTCTCGATGTCATGTTCCTGGAGGGGAGAGACCGTGCTGGACATGCCAGGCAGCTCCCGCTCTTGGCTTCTCTGGGGAATGAGGTGGCGCCACCTGGGGCCTGCGGTGGAGCATCTACATGGGGCATCCTGTTCTCACCATCCCAAGAAGCCCCCAGAGAAGACCGACTGGATGGAACGCCTCTTCTCGGGACTGTTCAGCACACAGACAATGTGAACTGGTCTGCGTGGGGAAGTTCTGGTCCTCTCTGCAAACCAGGCAGCAACGTTTGTGCCACCACTGCCTAGCCCAGCCACCCCCTTGCAACTCGGCCCTTGAGGGTCCAGGGAGGCATTTTCTCCATTTTGCAGTAGCCTCTCCTGGACAGCTCTGCCTCCCCAGCCCAAGTCCCTCTCACACTCAGAACTCTCAGGTGTTTCCTGCTGCTGCAGGGCAATGGCCTCAGCAGTTGTGCCTGGAATCCTCAGTAAACACCTGGCGCCAGCCAAGCCTAGCCCCGACCCCCACTCCGCCCCCAGCTCCTACCCTAAGGCTTTTACACATGCAGTTTCTTCCACCTTGAATGCCATTCCCTGAGCCCAGCATCCCCGGAGGCTCCCTTCAGACAAGCCCTGGTCAGACCCCCATCCCCATCCCCTCTAGAGGCCTTCTGCAGAGCCTGCTGTGGGATCCTCTTGAGTTCACACCATTGGTTTTGCTGCTTGGGGTCATTACTTCCTCAGGAAGACCTGGCTCTACCCCTTACTTGTGACTCTGAGCATGTCACGTCACTTCTGCTGTACCTCAGCCTCTCCATCCAGAGCCACCTCACAGGGACTTTTCGAGAATGAAACAAGCCAATGTCTGTGGAGCATTTAGCACTTGGAAAAAGCCCCAAAAAGGGGGCTATTATACCAAGGCATCCCTGAGCCTTCGGGGGGGATACCCTCCTTACTGGTCCCCTGGCAAACTGGGCATTCTTAGCCACTCAGACAGGCAAACTTCAAGAGGCGCCATCTGAGCTGAATAAACAGATCCTCTCTGCATCATGGGGAGTCCTGGGACCCACATGGTGGCCCAGTGAGTTGGAGGTAGGGCTGGGGTCAAGGACATGAAAGAAACATCAAGTAACTGAGCACCTACTGTGTGCCAGGCTTTTCCTGCATGTTTCCCAAGAGACAGGAAGCCTAGTGCCTGTTTTGCAGATCAGGACATGTTGGTTAAGAACGAACATTAAGTTCCTGCCTTGAAATGGGATAGGAGATGCAGGCAGCAGGAGACAGCTGCTCAGGGACCAGCCTTAGTGGGTCTGGTCTCAGAGGACTACTGTCCAGGCCTGTGTCTCCAGTTTGGAGTGACAACTGGCACCAACCTGGTGGCCAAAGGCTCCATCCACCCTGGGGTCCATGGCTTGGCTTGGGGGCCCTGTTTATTTTCCTGTTGGCCTCCAGGAGGGTCCAGGTAATGAGCCTTAGGGTGAGCCATGTGGCTAATTGTACCACCCACGGGTTGAGGAGGCCACACCAGGGCTGAGGGGACAGACCATACAGCTCTTCCCATCCCAGGCCTGTCCTTCCTCGGGGGCATCAAATCCAGGAACACTTCCCGGTCCCTGCCCGCTGGCCCATACTTCTCTCATTTACTCCCCACATGGACCCAGGCCATAGGGGAGGAAATTGAGGCTGGGAAAGGGGAATGACTGGCCCAAGGTCAACCCTGGGTAGGGAGAGCAGGCCCTGCCAGGGCCACTCTCCACGGTGGTGCACTGAGGCTGCATGTTCAGAGGAGATCAGGTTCCACCCGAGGGAGCTCCTGACCAGCTAGCCCCTTCGCAACCAGCTGTGGGTTCTCTGGGCTCTGGAGGGTGGGGCTGCAAAACAGCTGCAATGCGCTTCCTGCTGCATAAAGGACGGTTATCCTCCTGGGGTCAGAAGTCAAGCGCCCAGGGCAGTGTCTTCCAAATCCAGACACGTAGTGTGGGGGACGTGAGGGCTGTCTGCCCTCCGCCGCTAAGCAGGCCCCGACTGTCTCCCCCCAGCCCTGGTGTGGCCACCCCTGTCCCCATTCCCCATGAGGTGACGTGATCAGCCACAGGGCTGGCCCTACTAAGGCTCATCTCCCAGAATGGGAAGGGCTGGGCCTGGGCGTCGCAGGGCTGCCTGTCCTACGAAGCCCAGTGGCCTTGGATGAACCCTGCTGCCGACCTCCCTAGTGCCTCCTCTGACCCTCTACAGGGAGCTCAGGACTCAGTTCAGCTTGATCCAAGCCGAGCAACCGCGTCCCTCGGAGTGCTGCGCAAGGACAGCTCCCCGGGGGCCACAGCGCGGTGCATTCTGAGGCCCCCAACCCTCAGGGCCTCGCACTCCCATTGGCTCTGGGTGACGTCAGAGCCAGCCCCGCCTCCAGGTGGGCGCAGGCGGGAAGCACTGCGGCAGCCAGGGAGGGGGCTCTGGCGGCTCCTCTCGGCCTGTCTCCCCTCGCCTGTGACCTTGAGCACTGCAGGGAAGTCGGGGGCTCTGAGCCGGGCTTTGCGCCTGTGTGGGAGCTGGTGGTGGTGGTGCTGTGGTTTGGCCTGTCCGCCGCATCAATAATTCAGGGGACAGGGTCTGCAAGGGCAGGCAGGCGCTGACGTCGTCGCCTCTGTGCGTGCGGGGTGACCCATGGTCTGCGGAACGGCACGGCAGGCGTGTGGGGCCCGGGGGTGGGGGTGGGAGTGGGAGTAAGTGTGCCCCTGCCGCTCCCTCCTGAGGAAGAACGGGGCCGGGGTACCTGATGCCCCGGCGAGAGGAGGTGCCCTGGGCTCCAACTGGGGTCCCCTAGCCCTGCCAGCTTCACGGCTCCAGCGTTGCCTTCCCCCACCTACAAAATAAGGCACGCAGGCAACCCCTCCTCGCTCCTCCCCAGCAGGGACCCCCGCCTGAAGGCTGCCATTCCGGTATGGCCCAGACCTCCTCGCCTCCGCCCGGCTGGCGCTGCACAGCCCTGGGAACTGGGAGGCGACTCCTCAGGAAGAAGCTGCCTGTCCTTCCCGTGGCACTGGCGCAGCCATCCAAACAAGCTAGACGGCCGCCCATTCGGACGGCAGCCCCTGCACGCACAGACCCCGCACGCATACTGGGCGCACAGCCTCGGGGGCTCACCAAGGACACCCCCGCCCCCGGCCTGATGGCCCCAGGCACCACCCAGGCAGGCACCATCCAAGCGCACACCAGAGGGCACACGGTCAGTGGGACGTGCAGGCACTGGCGCACGGGTCCACACGGGCAACGCAGCCAGGTCAGACCATGCCTTCCCCGTTCCATTTCCTGCAGAGATGTCACCCACTCCCCATCCACACGCTCCACCCAGCCCCTGCCATGGGCTCTGACTAGCAGCTGCCCCCAACCCCTCCTGCAAACAGGGGCACCAGGGACCCTGGAGCCCTCTGACCGTGTCTCAGTGACCCCAGGGTGAGGCGAATGAAGGCAGGGCTGCCACCAGATGTGGGCTGAGGGGGGGCACTTACTCCCTACGGTGGGTCATAAGGATGCCCCATCCTCCCGGCCCACCTCGCGGCCCGCAGAGCCCTCACTCACCCCATCCCAGCACTCCGGCATCTTGCCGAGGGAGGGAACCCGCCTCGACCAGGAAGGACAAACAAAGGCCTGAGTCACTCGGGTCCAGAGGGAGGGGGCAGCTCGAGTGGGAGACGGTCGGCTCTGTGATGGGGCACAACTCCGGGGCCATTTATACCAGGATCCCGGCCCAGCCTAGCCGGCCCCTCCTTCCTGCAGGGTTTCTGAGCAGCCACTCGCTTATCCGGAGCCGCGGCTCCCAGATTGGTTGCTGGGAGACAAGCCTGGCTCCAATTGGCTTCTGAGGTCCTCCTGGCCCCAGCCCTGCCACTGCTCCTCCCACCCCAGCCACACATCATTCTTGCTGGTCCCCAGCCCCTGCATCTGCCCCCAGCGCACAGGCACAGCCAACAGCTCAGATGGCATCCTCAGAATACAGGAGCTGACGCCACATGCACACACCCACCCGTGTCAGGTATACACAGGGGCCTCACGGACATGCACAGCTCACCAACGTGGGGTAGGGCAGGGTGCACGGGCACTGCCCAGACAGGCAGAAACCTTGACCCACACCTTGGGGAGTACGGAGGGCCTGGGAGAGCCCCAAGCCCAGCATCTTGGGGACTAGACCCCCAGGCCCAGCCTCTCCATCAGGAAGGCCCCATCGCTTAACCTTGAGGCAGACTGGGGAGCTGCTGCTTTTTGGGGCAATCTGGGTTATCACCCTGCTTCAAGGGGCTGCTCCTCTGCCCACCAAGGATTTTCTCCCCCTGGGGAGCTCCTATCTTGTCCAAACAGAGGCAGGGGGCTTCCCCACAGTGCTGAAAGTAGAATTCGGGGGCCAGAGGCCCTGGGCAGAGGGCAGGGCCAGAGGTATGGTCTGACACACAACAGCTCCGCCCTCCCCACCCTCACCCTGCTGCCAGGGGCTCCAGGCCACTAGGGAGAGGAAGCGGGATAGGAGGCAGTTTGCCAACATTGATATGCCCACCTCTTGTAGAGCCACCCAGCCCTTATTCCTGTAGGCAACCAGTTTGGGGCTTGGTTCTCAGGTCTCTGGGGAGCAGGGCACTAGGGCCACCTCAGGCTCTGTGCCCTGTCCTCCTGGGCAGCAAGGATCTGGGTGGCGAGCTTGCTCGACTGAGGCCTGCAGGTGGAGTGAGCAGAGAAGGCAGGCCAAGAAGCATATGGGGAGAGAGGAAATAGGCCCGGGAGGGGAGCAGAGGAGGGGGCCCAAGGCTGGGAGAGCAGGAGCCAGAGAGAGGAAGGGGTGCTGCGTGCCTGTGCTCCCATTGTGCCTTGCGCAAGAAGGAACATGCCACTCACCCCCACCCACGCTGACAGCCCTGCACGCTGGCCGGCTGCTGTTGGAGGAGGTGGTCATCTCCTCATCTCTGGGTACCTGGTGACCTGGTCAACACCTGCTATATACACTATTCCTGGCCAAGTCCTCTGCCTGGGGGTACCTACTGCATCTCTCACCTCTCACTCTGGAGGCCCTGGGCAGACTGACAGGCCCTGTGCTCCCTAGGGTAGAAGGGAAGTGGAATGGGGAGTCCCCCTGGCCCCTCACCTCCTGGCCATGTTCCCCGTTCTTGCAGCCACTGTGGCATAGGAAGAGGCTTGGAAAACTGAGGCCCAGCCCTGCCCTCTGCTCTGCCCACAAAGCCCTCCCATGCCCCCAAGGCCTCACCGAATCTTATCCCCACTCCAACTTCTGACTCCTGAGTGGCCTCTCCTTACCTCTGGATCCAGGTGACAAGCTAACCTGCGACACTGCCCATTCCAAGCCACAGCCTCCATGACTGCTCAGCTCCCTGCCTACGAACCCACAGACCTGGGTTTAAGTCCCTCCTGGCCCCCTACCAGCTGGGTGAACTTGGGCAAGATTTTTTTAAAGCTCTCTGTGCCTCAGTGCTTCTAACTGTAAAGCAGAGACTGTGACTTTCTCACCAAGTTGCTGTGAGAATCAGAAAAAAACTGCATAAATCACTGCCGATCTGCCCAGGTCCTGGCAGGGGAGAAATGTGTGCTTCTCCAAACTGTTGGCCCCTTTTCTGGTGGTTGTACAGTTACGGTCGCCAAGAAGGCAGGCTCAGGTCTTGCCAGCCAAACCCTGGTGCCACTCATAGCTCTCCCACTTCTCTGCTGTGTGACCTTGGGCAAGTCAGTCAACCTTTCTGAACCTCCATATGTAAATGGGAGAAATAGCAGTGCCTACTGCACAGGCATTTGCAAGAATAATATACATAATCCTTATAAATTTGTGAAAAGGGATGAGGAAACTGAGGCACAGAGCGGTCAGGTAGTTTCCTCACTCGGCTAGTAAGCGGCGGCACTTACTAACTAGTACCTCAGCACTCTGGGTGGACCTGAGGTCTTAGAATCAAGAGTGGCGAGCACTTATGTTCAAACGTCCCCCATGTGCCAGGCTTTCTTCAAGCACTTTATGCCCATTATCTCACTTTATCCCTTTTTTTTTTTTGAGGCAGGGTCTTGCTGTTGCCCAGGTGCAATCTCTGCTCACTGCAACCTCCAGGTCCAAGCCATTCTCCTGCATCAGCCTCCCAAGTAGCTGAGATTACCAGCACCCGCCACCATGCCTGGCTAATTATTGTATTTTTAGTAGAGACGGGGCTTCACCATATTGTTCAGGCTGGCCTCAAACCCCTGACCTCAAGTGATCTGCCTGCCTCAGCCTCCCAAAGTGCTGTTATTACAGGCATAAGTCACCATGCCGAGCCTTTATCCTCTTTTTGGAAAGTATTTATTTTAAGTATGGAAGGCGGGTCATTCTTGTGCAAGGGTCATACTCATCTTCTCTGTATCATTCCAAGTTTGGTCTATGTGCTGCTGGGGCAAGCACTCATTTTATCCTCTTCATACCCTCTTTACAATGAGGCAAATAAGGCACAGAGAGGTCTGGTAACATGCCCAACGTCACACAGTTAGTGGGCACGGAGCCAGGAACCACACCCAGGTAGTCTGGCACTGACTCCATGCTCTGGTGGCCACTTGTTACGGTCAGCCGAGTATCCGTGTGAGGGGCCCATGGGCACCATCGCCTTAGACATACTCAGGAGGTCCATCCTGCCTGTCTCCATGAAAATGGGGTGGCTGAGTGGAGTGACTTGGGCTCAAGGTCATATGCGTGGAAGTGGCGGGGCCAGGACCTAGGTCTGTCTGGCTCATGTTAGTCCCTCTGCCATGCTGTCTCCCCCACTGGCTGTCCCCACTGAGGCAGGGGACAGTGACAACGCCTGCCATGGTGAGCAAGGGGTAAAATCTCTGCCAGGCCTTGGTCCGGATAACAGCCATCCATTCTTGTGGCTGCTTTTCTAAAACAAAAAACAAAAGAAACGCTGCCTCCTGTGGTGTGACAAGAGTGGACAGGAAGGTGACTTTGAATACAACCTGCTTTTACCAAGTAGAGGATTCTGAAAACCAGGGCCCCACACAGCCTGGGCCCCGCAACTCCGGGGCTGCAGGTCAGAGGGCTCGGTGGGCAGAGGCAGCTTTGCAGCAGCAGTTGGGTACCCAGAGGTGTGGTGGGGTCTCCTCCACGACTCCAGGACTCCCCTCTGCCCATCCCCCATGTCGTGGGCCTGTGTGCTGGGGCTGGCATCAGCACTGTTGGCATTGGCCTCCCACACCGTGGGACCAGTGTGTCGAGGCATTGCCTGGCTGCAATGGGATTTTACTTGGCCAACACCTTCCTCCAGGGCCCATTTGCCCGCGGAGCCCATCCTCATCTGCAGCATGGAGGACAAAGAAAATCCCCTGGCGATCCTGCTCTGATCTCCATCTGTCCCTTCCCACCAACCTGGGCCGGCTCCCGGCCACTTCCTTCCCATCCCTTTTCCTGGGATCTCATTCATTCCCCACTGCCAGAACCCAGCCTTTCCTCCCAGCTCCAGAGCCCTTTGTGCTTGGAGATAGCACTCCTGGGGATCTGAGCACACCTACGCTGGCTGCCCTGAAGCCTCCCCTCTTGTCCTTGGAGTGGCGCGTGACCAAGGGACAAGCACACAGGCCCAGATTCTCACACTGATCCTCACATTGCTCCTGCTGGGGGAGGAGCCGATGGGCAGCCCCACCTCTGTGTCACCCCTGTGTCCAGACCACGAGGTTGGTGCTGTCACGGGGCTTGGAGGCTGACCCAAAACCAGGTCAGGCCCAGATAAGGACAGTGGCCTGGGGGCTGGTTCCACCCTGCCAGGAGGAAGGATCGGAACTGGTTTGGCATGCAGGGATGGCCAGTGTGGCCTTAGAACCCAGCTGGGCTCCCTCATGTCTGCTGTCAGACATTTTCCAAGACCCAGAAATCAGTGGTCACTATGGGACTCAGAGGGGAGAAATGACTGGCCGAGTGAGCAGTATCATCACTCGGAGGAATAAAAACAAAGGGCGCTTTTAGTTTTCACGGAGAACCTGGCATCCACTAAAGAGGACAGGGTTGTCCTGGCAACAGCCGTCATGGAAACAGGAGCTATTTTAGAGTCAACCTGCCTTTCATTGGAGGAAAATGCTGATTCAGATGACAACATCCTTCACTCCCTTGTCCATCCTCACTCCCCCCAGAGACCCCCTCTCTTCCCTGCTGTTCACAGAAGTGTCAGTTCATCTCCAGCCCCAGCATCTCTCTGTTAGGCAGGGGGCAGGCAGGGCCGCTGTGAGCCCTGGGGGTGGTCCTGGCGACTGCTACAGGCTGGGGGCACACAGAGGGCTGTGACCCTCCTCTGGGACCTGGCCAGATGAGGCCAGGGGCTGGCCAGCTGTCAGTCCCACATCTCAGGGGTCTGAGCCTTGACCTACCTTCCAATCTGTGTCTGCAGCCAAGAGGAAGGCATCAGAGCTCTCCTAGGGGAAGGCAAACAGAGCGGGTGGCAAGTTAGTCTCTGGCTGGTCTAGGGGGCTCATGGGGCCTTAGCAGACTCAGTTTCTGGCCCCCAGGCTGTCTTTTTCTTAAGAGTCAGGGTCTCACTCTATCACCCAGGCTGGAATGCAGTGGCGCAATCACAGGTCACTGCATCCTCTAACTCCTGGTTCAAACGATCCTCCTGCCTTGGCTTCCTAGAGTGCCGGCATTACAGGCATGAAACACTGAGCCCAGCCCACCAGTCTGTCTTAATGTTAATGAAAGTGACCAAGGGCTCGCCAAAGTGCCAGGTACTGGCTGCCAAGTGCTTGGTGGAGGAGCCTATGAACCTACTCATCAAGGATGTGAGGCTCTCCATCTCACAGGTCATGAGGGTGAGGCTCGAGAGGCTGAGTCACAGGGCTAGAAAATGCTGGAATCTCCCCCTGCAAATCCTTGCTGTTGGTTACTTTGCCCTCCTGCTCCCACAGTTGTTTTCCATGGTCTGACCATCAGGGCACAAGGGTGGAGGAAAGGGAGGGAAGAGGAGGGGGGAACGTGACTATCATGCCTGCTGTAGGGATGGGGAAGCTGAGGGCCACCCAGCTAAGAGGAAAGAGGGGACTTTTCCAACCCACACAAAGGTATAGTGGCGGCTGCTCCCATCTCTCCAGGCCTGGCTGCTCTGTGCCTCAGCTCACTAGGGCTCACTTCACAGTGAACCATGTGAGTCTGGCTAGTGCCCGTTCTGCCCACCGGAGTGCGGGCACCACGAAGGCGGGACCACGTCTGGCTGTGCTCTCAATATGAAGCTGGCACGGAAGGGGCTCCCCAGACACCCACAGATCTGGATAAACAATCAGGCTTCACCAATGAGGGGAGAGGCTCAAAATGCGCCCACAGGTTACGAGGCTGCACAGATGGCCAGGGGAGGAGCGGGGGCTGGAACCCCGTGGCTGAGTTGCCAGGCTCTCCCAGAGGCAGAGGGGCCCGCAGACACTCTGCGGGGGCCTGGCTCTAGCTGTGCGACTCACCCCCTTTGGGTCCCCGTCTCTCCATCTGTAGAAGGCAGCCGGCCAGCTCAGACTCAGGCCACTTTCGGGCCTGGGGAAGGAAACTGATCAGGGAGCAGCACACATCCAGGTAAAGCAGAACTGACAGGTCCTGCCTTGCCTTCCCCTGTGTTTGCCTAGAGACCTCTCTGCCTGCCCCACTCTGCCAGGCTGTGAACTCCTGGGCAGTCACTCAGCCTCTGAGCCTCAGTGTCGTGAGGATTAGAGAAGCTCCGTGTTGCCCACCGTTCTGCCTTATGTATCCCAGCACTGGACTGTGCCTGCTACAGATCCTCCTGAGGAATAAATACATGGATTGGCCAGGCACGGTGGCTCATGCCTGTAATCCCAGCACTTTGGGAGGCCAAGCCGGTCAGATCACCTGAGGTCAGGAGTTTGAGACCAGCGTGGCCAACATGGTAAAACCCCGTCTCTATTAAAAATACAAAAATTAGCTGGGCATGGTGGCAGGTGCCTGTAATCTCAGCTGCTTGGGAGGCTGAGGCAGGAGAATCACTTGAACCCAGGAGGCAGAGGTTGCAGTGAGCCAAGACTGCACCACTGTACTCCAGCCTGGGTGACAGAGTGAGACACTCCTCTCTCTCTCTCTCTCTCTCTCTCTCTCTCTCACACACACACACACACACACACACACACAACAGGGCAGATAATGGCAGGGTGTGCTGTATGCTCTCTGGGTCTGGGGGCCCCAGGAGATGAAGGGTGTGGGAGGGGAAGGACCCAAAAGCCAAGAAAATCAGGGAGAAGAGAAGCCAACGCAGAGTCCCCTGATGTCCCATGGGAACTGGGTGAGCACTCGAAGGAGAGCAGGTGGCAGGACGGGCCCAGCTGAGGGAGGCAGAAAGGCCCAGGAGTGGTGTGTGGGAGGCGGGATGGGGACACAGGCACAGAGGGACCTAGCAGCAGTTCTTCCACAGACAAGCCAGACACTGGAATTTCCAAAGGCAAGCCAAGCTCCAGTGGCAGGTGGGCAGGATGTGAGTCAATGTGTGAAAATACTCACTTCCCACTGGACTGAAAGAATTTGCACCTGGAAAACTGCAGAACATTTAAAAAGTGAAAAGGATGCCCAGTGAAGTGGCTCATGATTGTAAGTGGTTACTTGGGAGGCTGAGGTGGGAGAACTGCTTGAGGCCAGGAGTTCGAGACCAGTCTGGGCAATAAATATAGCAAGAGTCCCCCATCTCTACAAAACAGAAAAGTTAGGCAGGCATGGTGATGAAAGCCCGCAGTCCCAGCTACTCAGGAGGCTGAAGTAAGAGGATCGCTTGAGCCCAGGGGGCAGAGGCTGCTGTGGTCACACCACTGCACTCTTGCCTGGGTGCCAGATGCAGACTTGTCTCTAAACAAAAACAAAAAATAAATAAAAAGTGAAAAGAATGGGGCTGGGGGCGATGGCTCATGCCTGTAATCCCAGCACTTTGGGAGGCCGAGGTGGGCAGACACCTAAGGTCACGAGTTCAAGACCAGCCTGACCACCATGGAGAAACCCCGTCTACACTAAAAATACAAAATTAGCTGGGCATGGTGGCGCATGCCTGTAATCCCAGCTACTTGGGAGGCTGAGGCAGGAGAATCTCTTGAATCTGGGAGGCAGAGGTTACAGTGAGCCAAGATCACACCACTGCACTCCAGCCTGGGCAACAAGAGCAAAACTCCGTGTCAAAAAAAAAAAAAGTGAAAAGGATGGATGCTTTCAACACTGTGGCTGGAAAAGAAGAATCTGCCTGTGAGAGCCACAGCCTGAGAGAGCCAAACTAGCTCTTGAAGGCAGAGAGCAGGGTAGGACTGCATGGGGGGTGCCATGCTGCAGCATCCAGGAGGCTGGGTCAGGTGTGGGGTGGGGCTTTTTTTTTTATTTTTTTGAGTCAGAGTCTTACTTTGTCACCCAGGCTGGCGTGCAAGGGCATGATCTCAGATCACTGCAACCTCTGTCTCCCGGGTTCAAGCAATTCTCCTGCCTCAGCCTCCTGAGTAGCTGGAATTACAGATGCACACCACCACATCTGGTTTATTTTGTATTTTTAGTAGAGACAGGGTTTCACCATGTTGGCCAGGGTCCTAGGTTCAAGCAATTCTCCTGCCTCAGCCTCTTAAGTAGCTGAGATTATAGGAATATGCCACCATGCCCATCTAAGTTTTGTATTTAGTAGAGTCAGAGTTTCACCATGTTGGTCTGGCTGGTCTTGAACTCCTGACCTCAAGTGATCCACCTGACTCGGCCTCCTAAAGTGCTGGGATTGCAAGCGTGAGCTACTGAGCCTGGCTGGCCTTTTTTTCTTTTTCTATTTGAGGCAGAGTCTTGCTCTGTCTCCCATGCTGAGTGCAGTAGTGCCATCTCGGCTAACTGCGAGTGATTCTCAGGTTCCCAGGTTCAAGCGATTCTCTTGCTTCAGCCTCCCAAACAGCTGGGATTACAGGTGCACACCATCATGTCCGGCTAATTTTTGTAATTTTAGTAGAGATGCGGTTTCGCCATCTTGGCCAGGCTGGTCTTGAGCTCCAGATCTCAGGTGACCCACCCACCTTGTCCTCCCGAAGTGCTGGGATTACAGGCGTCAGCAAACACACCCAGCAGGGATGGGGCTTTTAAGGTACCTTTGGAAAAAGTAGATGTGCCCAGGCTCAAAGCACAGGGCCCATGCTGACTTGTGAAGGAGGGAAGAAGCCTCCCCAGGAACTGAGATGGAGACCCTCATGCAGGGGCGAGGATGGCACGGTGGCAAACTCACTCTGGTCCTGGTGACGGGTAGAGAGAGACACCACGTGCAGTAGGGCTAGGCTGCCCAGTGGGCATGAGCAGGCAGAAGTATGCCCACTGAGTGAGAGAGGGAGGGGCAGTGAGGGCTGGGCCAGGCTAGGCAGAGAAGGGTGCCCAGCTGAGGTGGGCAGTGGAAGAGACAGGCACAGAAGTTATTACCCCGCACCAGCAGGCAGCACCTCCGTGCGGCTGTCCCGCAACCCACACACTTCAGCACTTGGGATGGGATGCAGGGGTCCTCAAGGGCCACCATCTGCCCTATCAAAACCTCACAGGAGGGCTCTGCTTTCATGCCTCAACAGACTGGTAGGCAGGCACAGTGGCTCAGGCCGCTAATCCCAGCCCTGAGGAAGGCTGAGGTGGGAGGATCACTTGCACCCAGACGTCCAAGACCAGCCTGGGCAACGGCGGAAGACTAATCTCTACAAAATGAAGAAATGAGCCAGGTGTGGTGGCATATGCCTGTGATCCCAGCCACTTGGGAGGCGGAGGCAGGAGGATCACTTGAGCACAGGAAACTGAGGTTGTAGTGGTCTATGATGGCACTCCAGCACTCCAGCCTCGGTGACAGAATAAGACCCTGTTTCAGAAGAAAGAAAGAAAGAAGAAGAAAAATAAAAGAAAGAAAGACACAGGCAGGAGTGGGGAGGAGGGACTTTTTAGAAAGTTCTGAAAACTTCTTTCTTCTGAGCTGAATCACCATCTGTGGCTTCCACTCAGCCCACATTTTTACTGAGAGCCAAGTGTGTGCTGTGTGGGGTACTGGGGAGACCAGGGGTGCAAAACAGAACAGATCTCTGCCCTGGGAACCTGAAGAGCAGGGCAGCCAGGCTAAGTGACAGAGCCAGGGCCAGATGTGTTGGTCTTTTAACACTAGACCCAGCGGTTAGAGAGGGCCTGAGGAGGGAGCATTTGAGCAGAGGCCTGAATAAAACAAGGAGAGGAGCCAGCCCTGCGAATTTCTGGGCTAGTACTACATCCCAGGTAGATGCACTGGGAATCTGAGGGGCACGTTCAAGGAGGCTAGAGAGAAGTCAGCTGGGCACAAGCTTGGGAGACAGGCTGGGGAGCTGGGACAGATCACACCCTGGGTCCCATCTCTGAGATGTCTCGTTAAGCAGAGAAATGACATGGCTTATTTTTTAATTTATTGTATGTTTTCAGACAGAGTCTCACTCTGTTGCCCAGGCTGGAGTGCAGTAGTGCAATCTTGGGGTTGAACCTCCTGGCTTCAAGTGATTCTCCCATCTCAGCCTCCCAAGTAGCTGGGATTACAGGTGCCCACCATCACACCCGGCTCATTTTGTAGTTTTAGTAGAGGCGGGGTTTCTCCATGTTGACCAGGCTGGTCTTGAACTTCTGATCTGTCCGCCTCGACCTCCCAAAGTGCTGGCATTACAGGTGTGAGCCACCATGCCTGGCCCATGGCTTATTTTAAAAGGGTACAGAGCAAAGGCAGAAGCAAAAAGACCAGCAAGCAAACTCCTGCAAGCATCCCAGGGCAGCAGCTGATGGAGGCTTAGACCAGGGAGCAACTAAACTTAGAATAAAGCGTTTGAAAAACAGGCAGTCACCACCCACCCCGATGGCTGTCCTCGGGTAGGCTGGGTCTTAAGATTCAAGGTTCGGTCTGTAAGATTCCCAGTACCCTTCTTGGGGGCAGGACTGCAACCTCATGTAGTTGGATCCCTGGAGCCCTGGCTGGCTGCGCAGTTCCAGTCCTGGCTGCTCAGTGGCTCCTGGGCTCCCCTCCTTGTGATGGGAGGCTGGGGAGGCAGGATGGGGCAGAGAACAAGCCCTGCAGATTTGAGGGGCTGGGCTCCTGACCTCCCCATCTGTAAAATGAGGGGGGCCCGGGCAGCATAACTTGCAGGGACCCCAGCCCAGATGCCTCAGAATCCAGCAAGCAGGGAACCCACACTTTTTTGCAAAGTGGTTCGTGTCACAGTCACTAGTACGATGACTCTGGGAGGGAGGGAGGGAAAGGGAAGGTGGACAGGGTGTGGTCACACAAAAAAAAGGGTGGCATGAAAGTCACTCTGGCCTCTAATGCCTTGTCCCCTGACGGGGGGGATCTTTGGGACAAAATCATAACCTGTGATGCAACCGTCCCACTGCCCAGGGTGGCACTGTTGGATAGGCCTGCCTGGGTGCCGCAGAGGCTTGAGAGGCAGATAAGGAGCACACAGATGGGGGAGCACCATTCCCTGCTGGAGCCAACACTGTCCAGTGCTTCTGGGCTGTCCAGAAATGGGTTGATACTGCCTCATTCCCCACTAGCTGTGTGACCCTGGCCAACTGGGGTCACCTCTCTGTGCCTCGGTTTTCTCTCATTAAAGGGGGATATAAGTCTCCTGCAGCGCCTCCAGCCCCAAAGATGGCTGAAGCCACCTTGAGGCTGGCTGGGTCTCAGTGGCACTCAGGCCGCCCAGAACTCTCCCCAGGCAGGGACAAGGCTTTTTGGAATGGCTGGCCCTGTGGAGGGTCGCCTGTAGGGAAAGCGCGCGGTCTCCCTCTTGGCCACAAGGTGGCGCGCTCGGCCCCAGGACCTCAAAGGCGCGACTCCCGACTCACCAGCTCGGTGGCATCCTGGCCCCGCAGCAGCGGCTTCTCCTCGGGGAATCGCAGCTCCTGCAGTCCGGCCATGGTCACGTCGTGGAGCAGGAGGCCTAGGGAGGGAGAGCGGGGTTGAGGCCTGCTGCAGCGGGGACGCCCGGGCCGAGAAGGACAGCGCAATCCAGGGCTGGGGCAGGAGCACGGGAACCACACGCACCGTCCCCCTCGTTCCTAAGCGCAGCCCACCCGGGCCCCTAGGCCTTCGTCTGCAAGACTGGCCTGTCTGGCTCGGGAGATGCCATTACAGTATTTGGTCTTTTTTTTTTTTTTTTTTTTTTTTTTTGAGACAGAATCCTGCTCTATCGCCCAGGCTAGAGTGCCGTGGCGTGATCTCGGCTTACTGCAACCTCTGCCTCCCAAGTAGCTGGGATTATAGATGAGTGCCACCACCTCACTAATTTTTGTATTTTTAGTAGTGCCCGGGTTTCACCATATTGGTCAGGCTGATCTCGAACTCCTGACCTCAAGTGATCCACCCACTTCGGCCACCCCACGTGCTGAAATTTCAGATGTGAGCCACTGTGCCCAGCCTAGTATTTGCTCTGAAAAGTTAAAACATGTGGTCAGGTGGGGTGGCTCATGCTTGTAATCCCAGCACTTTGGGAGGCTGAGGCTGGCAGATCATGAGGTCAGGAAATTGAGACCAGCCTGGCCAACATGGTGAAACCCCATCTCTACTAAAAATACAAAAATTAGCTGGGTGTGGTGGCGTGTGCCTTTAATCCCAGTTACCTGGGAGGCTGAGGCAAGAGAATCTCCTGAACCAGGGAGTCAGAGGTTGCAGTGAGCCGAGATTGCACCACTGCATTCCAGTCTGGAGACAGAGTGAGACTCCAGCTCAAAAAAAAAAGTTAAAACATGTTTCCAAATAAAAGAGAAAAGCAACATGATGATTCCTAAAACAATTACAAGCAAAATTCTGCCTTTGTTTGAGAAGCAGAAGACTGTGTTAAGATGGGCCAGGGAAGGTTGGGAGCAGAGGCCCTGGTGGTGTGGCAGGCCAAATGTGATGTTGAAAGAGTGGGTGCAGGTCTCAATTCAGGCCACCAGCAGGGGGGGGTGACATACAGGGGCTGTTCAGCTCTGGAGCGTGCATCTGGGCCCTGATTTCTGGGAAAGCTCAGGGGTTTCTGAACCTCAGAGGAAGAATGGGTCATACATACAAGGGTGTGTGTGTGTGTGTGTGTGTGTGTGTGTGTGTGTGTAGGAGTGAGTGGTGGGGAAGGAAGACAGAGGGTCTCAGGACCCCGCAATTCCTAAAGGACCAGCACCACCATCCTTTAATTTCAGGATGGCAGAGGTCAGAATGCACCAAGACAAAACCCAGCCAAGGACATGATCTGGAAATTCATAAAAGAATTAAAATTGGCCAGTATGTACATGGAAAACTATTTAAGCTCACTAGAAGTCAAAGACATTTAAATTAAGATATTTATTTATTTATTCATTCATTCATTCTTGCCAGGCACAGGGGCTCACATCTATAATCCCAGCATTTTGGGAGGCTGAGGCTGGAGGAGCGCTTGAGCCCAGGAGTTCAAGACCAACCTGGACAACATAACATGACTCCATCTCTACGGAAAAAAAAATAAAGTAGCCGGGTGTGGTGGTGAGAACCTGTGATCCCAGCTACTCAGGAGGCTGAGGTAGGAGGATCACTTGAAACCAAGAGTTTGAGGCTACAGGGAGCTTTGATTGCACCACTGCACTCCAGTGTGAGTGACAGAGCAAGACCCTGTCTCAAACAGATGGATGGATGAATCCCTTTCTTTTTTTTTTGCACTGGCAAAGCTCACACAGCTAGCAAAGGTGCACTAAAACAGATACCTTCTTATATGGCTTGTGAGTATATAAATGGACATATCTTTCTGGAGGGCAGTTTGCAAATGAATTAAAATTATTCAAAAGGTTCATACTCTCAGACTCAGCAATCCTCTCCCATGGAAAAACTTCCTAAGGAAACCAGAGAGGGCAGCAAATGATTTGTCTGTGAGAATTCTTACCACAGAGCCATTTATATATTATTAAAAATATTGGGGGAAAATGTCCATCAATAGGGCACAAGATTAACAAACTGTGGTCAATAATAAAAGATTATTTAATATAATGGGAAAATTCCTGTTACAATGAATAGAAAAGCAGTTACGAAATAAATAGACAATATTATCCCACGTATGAAAACTACAAATAGTCTATTTAAAAAAGCCTAAGGCTGGGCTCGGTGGCTCAAGCCTGTAATCCCAGCACTTTGGGAGGCCGAGGCGGGTGGATCACGAGGTCAAGAGATCGAGACCATCCTGGTTAACATGGTGAAACCCCGTCTGTACTAAAAATACAAACAATTAGCTGGGCATGGTGGTGTGTGCCTATAATCCCAGCTACTCAGGAGGCTGAGGCAGGAGAATTGCCTGAACCCAGGAGGCGGAGGTTGCAGTGAGCCGAGATGGCGCCATTGCACTCCAGCCTGGGTAACAAGAGCGAAACTCCGTCTCAAAAAAAAAAAAAAAAAGCCTAGGAAGCTGTACATTGGCCAGGCATGGCAGCTCATGTCTGTAATCCTTTAGTCTCTACTAAAATTACAAAAATTATCTGGGCATGGTGGTGTGCACCTATAGTCTCAGCCACTGGGAGGCTGAGTCAGGAGAATCACTTGAACCCGTGGGGGGCAGAGGTAGCAGTGAGCCCAGATCGTGCCACTGCACTCCAGCCTGGGCAACAGAGTGAGACTCCATCTCAAAAAAAAAAAAAAAAAAAAATAGAAAAGAAAACAGTACATCAAAAAGTTAACAGGCATTGGCTAGGCACAGTGACTTACACCTGTAATCCCAGTGCTGTGGGAGGTGGAAGCAGGAGGATTGCTTGAGGCCAAGAGTTTAAGACTAGCCTGGGCAACATAGTGAGACCTCATCTTTACAAAAAATTAAACAAATTTTCCAGGTGTGGTTGCACATGGCTGTGACCCTAGCTACTAGGGAGGCTTGAGACAAGAGGATTGCTTGAGCCCAGGAAGTCGAGGCTGCAGTGGGCTATGATTGCACCACTGCACTCTGGCCTGAGCAACAGATCTATATCCTGTCTCTTAAAAAAACAAAGTTGGGGAAGAAGAGGCGCGAGAATGGAGGTGGAGGCCGTAGGTGATGGCGCAGGGGAGCGGGAGGCCCAGGACCCTGCCCCTGCCTCCAGCAAGGCCCCTGGGAGCGCTGGCCACTATAAACTGCCGTGGGTTGAAAAATATAGGCCAGTAAAGCTGAATGAAATTGTCGGGAATGAAGACACCGTGAGCAGGCTAGAGGTCTTTGCAAGGGAAGGGAATGTGCCTAACATCATCATTGCGGGCCCGCCATGAACTGGCAAGACCACAAGAATTCTATGCTTGGCACGAGCTCTGCTGGGCCCAGCACTCAAGGATGCTGTGTTGGAACTCAATGCTTCAAATGACAGGGGCATTGACGTTGTGAGGAATAAAATTAAAATGTTTGCTCAACAAAAAGTCACCCTTCCCAAAGGCCAACATAAGATCATCATTCTGGATGAAGCCGACAGCATGACTGACGGAGCCCAGCAAGCCTTGAGGAGAACCATGGAAATCTACTCCAAAACCACGTGCTTTGCCCTTGCTTGTAATGCTTCGGATAAGATCATTGAGCCCATTCAGTCCCGCTGCGCTGTCCTCCGCTACACGAAGCTGACCGATGCCCAGATCCTCACCAGGCTGATGAGTGTTATCGAAAAGGAGAGGGTGCCCCACACTGATGACGGCCTGGAAGCCATCATCTTCATGGCGCAGGGAGACATGAGGCAGGCACTGAACAACCTGCAGTCCACCTTCTCAGGATTTGGCTTCATTAACAGTGAGAATGTTTTCAAGGTCTGTGATGAGCCCCACCCACTGCTGGTGAAGGAGATGATCCAGCACTGTGTGAACACCAGCATCGATGAAGCTTACAAGATTCTCGCTCACCTGTGGCATCTGGGCTACTCACCAGAAGATATCATTGGCAACATCTTTCGAGTGTCTAAAGCTTTCCAAATGGCAGAATACCTGAAACTGGAGTTTATCAAGGAAATTGGATACACTCATATGAAAATCGCAGGAGTGAACTCCCTTTTGCAGATGGCAGGCCTCCTGGCCAGGCTGTGTCAGAAGACAATGGCCCCGGTGGCCAGTTAGAGCAGAGACTTCGCTGACTGACTTACAGGTGCCCTATCCTGAGATACAAGAGCTCATTCTTCTGATGGGGGAAAAATGCCACCCTAGGCTGGAGCCAGTGTGACTGCCCTTTAAACTCCCATGGCTGGCTGGGCGCAGTGGCTCACGCCTGTAATCCCAGCACTTTGGGAGGCCGAGGCGGGTGGATCACCTGAGGTCAGGAGTTCGAGACCAGCCTGACCAACATGGAGAAACCCTGTCTTTGCTAAAAATACAAATATTAGCGGGAAAAAAAAAAAAAAACAAAGTTAACAGGTGTTATTCCTGGGTGGAGAACTAAAAACTGGGTCTATGATCTGAAATCAGGAAAGAAGCCTTTCTAAAAAAACCATTTGGTTGAAGATCAGTAACAACTCCTTATTCTTGCAAAGCATTTCACAGCTCACAAATTTCATTTATTTATTTAGAGACAGAGCTTCACTGTGTTCCCCAGGCTGGAGTGCAGTAGCATGATCTCGGCTTACAAGTTCTGTCTTTTGGGTTCAAGAGATTCTTGTGCCTCAGCCACCCAAGTAGCTGGGACTACAGGCATGAGCCACCACACCTGGCTAATTTTTATAGTTTTAGTAGAGACAGGGTTTTGCCATGCTGGCCAAGCTGGTTTGGAACTCCTGACCTCAAATAATTCTCCTGCATTACCTCCCAAAGTGCTGGGATTATAGCATAAGCCACAAAACTATTTTATTTCACCCCAATGGGAAGTGAGATGAGGAAACCAAGGCTAAAGGAGGTTTGATCACTTGCCCAGATGGGGCCAAGACTAGACTACTAATCCAGTGCTCAGGGTTCATTCTATAACACCACGGCCAGCTGACGTGGTAGGACAGAAGGACAGATTCCTTC